TAATTTCTTATAGGTATAAACATAAATTGTTATTCGATAAACCCAGGTAAATTTTATTATAATAAAAAGAATGATGTGGTTAAAAAAAAGGACACAACCCCATAAACGAATTTCAAAAGATCTGGTCTAAGGCTAACGTTGCCTGAGATAATTTTTATAAAACGTTAAGCTTGTGACTTATAAATACAATAACATCAGCCATACGTTGCATAACGCAGGCAAGCCCAGCCTGTCTCCACGAGATCCAGTCTGAAATTACCTGAGATAATAACTTCATATTAAACACTGCGCTATTTCGTTATTCATTACTCATGAAAGAAGTACCGATTTACCCCTGAAAGCAAGAGCCTTTTCTGAACATATCCAATGCCGTCCCTCCATATGTTTGTTCCCTCTAGTTCCTCAGCTCTTTCTCAAATCCGAACGCCATCACCAGTTCAACGTACACCCATCAGATTATCTCAAGTCGTGCCAGTTGGTCTATAAGCTCTGGGTCGACTATAACATGTTTTCCTTGCGCATCCCTACATTCCATATAGTATCCACACAAACCACCTCTACAGACGTAGAACAGCTTTCCCGGATTTTTGTTATCGAACCCCGAAATCACCCGCTTGCTTGATAATCCACATCCGCAGACTGGGTTCGTCGGGTCGTTGCCGCGGGCGTCGGCGAACACTAAGAACTTACCCATCGTTGGACATGTGAAATATGGGCGTCCTGCGTTCCCGTTTATATTCGATGACGATGTGATGCCCATGGAGGCAGCTGAGCCACAGTGAAGACATGGTATTGGCGATTTTGGGTAGGGAGCCGAAGGTCGTAGTTCGCGTAGGATCAGTTGCAAGTCAGACCAGTCTGGCGCCCGGCCCTTGTGGGCGTCTATGGCAGTGTCCTAGATAGGATAATATCCGATTAGGACATGAAGTGGGCAAGCCAGGACCATTATAAGGTTAATGTATACACTTACATCTATGTCTCGACCAAAAAGGAATTTAACAACGTCTTTCAGCGTCTTTAAATGCATAGTTGTCGATGTTTCTGAACGATACTATTTGTGTATGGTAATAGTAGGATAGGTTTCTCTTGATCAAACGGTTACAAACGACTGAGAGGCCAGGCTATTATAGCAAACGGTAATCTAATAAAACTCATTGGCTACATGTACCTCTAGGTAGGTAGTTGTCCGCCACCGACAAAGCGATCTGATTGGCCTATCATTTGTATACCTCAGGTACTTTAAAGCCTTTACACTTTATTCAACTACCTAAATAGGTATCAATTCCACCAGGCAAAGCAATATCCTAGTATTCGATTTGGTTCTTGAAAAAGCCAGGCGCTGTAGTCCTGAGATATAACATGACGAGGCTGGAAACAAAGGTTACCTCTACCTAAGGTAGGTACTAATACTGCCTCTTATATTAGGTACTTAATACAACGATGTCCCTTGCTTTTTGTCATGTCTAAGATCTATATAATAACGAAAATAACTAAACTAATATTAATAGACTAATAGTAACAAGTCTCAATGAGATGTAAATCGTTCAAGTAAATCATCAAACCACATCATCTTACATCCTTGAAAAAAGATGTTGAAAAGAAAGTTTAATCTTACTGAAGGCTTTAATACTATCACAACCTAGTAATAACCTAACTATTAAAGTCATATATATTGAATTTCTAGCAGTTAGTTATTTCTAAGTTCGTACGTAAACTCCCCCCTAGAAGGCGGCAAAAGGCAAAAATGAGGTAGTTTATTTACACAACTGCTTAAACTCGAGACGTGCCCCTCGTTCTTGTTAGAGGTTTTGCTGGGTACCTAACTTCACGTTCTACTTATGCCCTATATGATAATATTCTTTTGAGTAGTATGAACTTTGTCGACTTCGTTTAGGATAGCTAATAGTATAGTTACTATGCTAAGAATACAACTAAGAAAGGGTACTATTCCAATAACAATATTCAGTCTTCAAGCTACTTAAGCAGTCCAGGACAATTTTCCTCTCTTCCTTACTCTCCCTTTACCCACCGATAGTAATAAATATCGTCATATCTCTAATGAGCATTTCCATAATCAAGATAACGAACGAATGCCTCGATGGCTGCTGAAGGAAATGATACCGGCGTGAAGCCCCCATATCTGAATAACAATCTGTACCGTTTCATTCTCTGAATGTATCCGACGTCATCCCTCTGTGCTCTTTCTTTAATCCGAAAGCCTCTCGTAGGTCTATTATATAATCCTCAAATTATACATAGCTCTACCAGGTTGCTTCGAAGTCCTGGCGCGATTTCGACTGGCGCGATTTCGATGGCTTTTCCCTGATTCATACATGGTTCCCAATGAACACATCTGCCTCCTCTACAAACATAGACTAGCTGTGCGGGGTTTGCTGTCTTCTGTCCTCCTAATATCAGTTTGGCAGGAAGCTCGCATTCACAGAATGTGTACTGAGACATGTTGCCACGGGCATCGGCGAATACAAGGAACTGTTCGCAGTCGACACATTTGAAGTATGGGCGACCCTTATTGCCATTAGGATTATTCATATTCGTGAGGCACCAGATACCACGTTTGTGGCATTTGAAGCATTGTGGCGGCGTTATTGGGTAAGGAGCTGAGGGCGATTGTGCTTGTAGGTGACTTCGTAGCCTAGTCAGTCCTAGGTTGTCTATGGTGGTTTGCTAGACTCATTAAGATATAAGCTAGGTAAATGAGAAATTGTATTACACTTACATCAATATTTAACCCCAAAATTATTTGAAGAACTTCCACCAAATTTGTAAAAATTATACTAGTAGGTGTCTCGATCATAGTGCCGTTGCCGTTGCCGTTGCCGCTACTGCTAATGATGATGAATTCTATGTGTATGATGGCAACAGGATGGCTTGCTCTTGAAAAAAGAAAGACGGAAACGCCACTACAACACATACAAGTATTAAAAGCCTTGCAGAATGGCATTTGTTAGGCATTGTTTAGGCAGCTACAACTAGCATAGCAACTTGACTGGTCAGCCATCTACGTATCTACTTCGAGATACTGTAGTACATGCCTGAAGCACCCCTCTTTTGTAACACCACTCTATCACAACACAGCAATATTCTACAAAGCGACTCGACTCTAGAGAATCATATCTTCCAGTACTAGGATAGTACCTATATAACTCGATAATGGGGGCTATGCACTAGCTATACTCATATTCTTACTACGATCAACAACAGTGGCCCTTGCAATTTATCCTTAATATCTACGATTATTATAGCAGCAAGCGCGGCCGCACAAGTATTAATACATTAACAATAGAGTCTTGAAGCCATGCCTGGGATGTCAAAATACGTAGGGATAGAATTTAGCTGTTGAATGGTATTTCTAAATTCGTACATACTAAACTCCTTCTTTTCGATACCCCTTTTCGCCCTCCCCCACAAAAAAAAGGGTGACAAAAGGCTGGAAAAGGGGTAGTTGAACCAAGCTTCTAAACAAGTAGGTATAACTACCTTAAATAAGTCAATAGTATAACTTAATTACACATTGACGATACTAAGTCCATAAAGTATTTATCTTAAGTAGGTACTTTTATAAAATTGGAAAAAACATAATGCAAAAAAAAAACACTTTCATCTACTTGAGGATAACAGGTAGTAATGGTAACGGTACTCCAGATTTAGCAAACCTAGACAGGTATGTATCAAGTATTCTACAACTACCTATCTACTTGATGACTGAGTTTAAAGTCTTCAGTCTTCACTGGTCTGCCAACTTTAGCATATTTCCACCGGAAGTATACTCCCAAACCCCCAACACAAACCCAACTTCATACCATAACATACAATACACGATAAACTCCCACTTAAACACCAACACTTAATTACAAGAAAGAGCCAGAAAATCAAAGGATAGCTCAAAAGCTTAAGATTACAAGTACAAGAGACAATGTTTTAACAAAATTCATTAGCTACCAGACGTGAGCTCTACATAATCTATTAACAAGAAGCCGCCAGTCCTTTTCGTTGCCATTTTCGCCGTATAACACCGCCGCGCCCGCCTATTTTCAATCCATACACGTACAACCGGAGGGTAAGGTCCGAAAGAAGACTCGATATCGCACTGAATCAAGGCTTGACTTGCTTGTTCAGTCTTGCGTGAACATGTACATAGAAACCAAGTCGTTGGCATGATTTGTGCTGCTTTTCCGGAAAGGGTCCTAGATGGATACTGTAACTACATCGGCAGTGTAGTTTTCCGTGTCGTATATGGGATATAACTTTTGTCGAAAGCTGATATAGAACTCTGGATACCCCCTGACCCTTAATGAGCACATTACTAAAGTAGATGTGGAAATGATAACTTTCATCGCAAAGGGATATCTGTTACTAGAAAGAGAGTGCCTACCCAGGAATGATGTTGTGGGCTGGGAGGCGCATAATACAAATTTCGGCGGTCTGCGCACGGTTGGCGACAGATTATTAGACATTTGCCGATGAGTGATGAGAATGGAAGGTTCCGAGTCGTGTACTGGGATAAATCTTTCAAACCAGACTGGACAAGGTTCATGGAAATTAAAATTGTCCCAAAACAACAGCCAGATAGATTGGTGTTATGGTAGAGTCAGGAAAGGTATGTAATACTTTTTCGAGACCATGTGGATGATTTAAGATTGAGATAATATCGGTATAGCAGGCTTTAGGGGAACTGGTCTGCTATGTAGGACTCTACGCAAACTTCGTGAAGAGTTTCGGTATTAACACAACCTATGGTAGTCCTAAGTCGAGGTGCCGATGTTGAATAGCAATGATAAAAACCAACTGGAATTTCGTGATCGTTTTGAAAGATTCAGGACCGGTACCGTGTCGTCAGAAAGAAAATCATTCCACGTGATTCTCATATGCTCATTAATTATGAATAGACAATAGGAGACCCAAGCTTTCAAAGACTTGGAAGTGATTGTCGTGGGGGGTATCTGTTGAACAATGTAACTCACGGTAGGCCTAAATGCGCTTTATAGCCCATGGCTGCTATTGGACTCCACGACATTATCAGAGAGGTTAATCAATAGCTGGGCGAGACAACGTTTGGTCGCCGCATCGTCACGGAGGACCGAGCTAAAGGTGGCATCGCGAAGCGGTTCCGGGAGGCACTGGCGGAGAGCCTCGCGAGCGCGGGCGTTATCGCTCAGGCGGAGGAAGCAGCGCACAACGTGCTTAAGGAGGCGAGCAGTCTGCTGCTCGACAAGCTGAGCAACCATATTGCTTAACACTGTTCCGACGGCATAGAAGCGTTCATACGTGGCGCAGATATAGTTAAGACCATTATCATCCAGTAGGATCTTCTGTACGATGAAAATGGCAACTGTCTTACTAAGTTCAGACCCAGTCTCCATGATTCTGAGGCAAAGGGGGATAATTTCGGTCGTGAGTAGAAAGTTGATCACCTCACTAGAGTCATTTTTAACTAAGGCTCCGATCACACCCAGCGACGTCAGACGGAGATACTCAAACGGACGAGACTTGGATGTAGTATTCAGGAAAGGGTATAAGAAAAGAGGGATATGGGCTATATTTCATCTCATTAGCGTGTTATAATTATCTTGCCCGAAGATCAACATACCATTCAAGAACAAGGTTCTAGTATCATTATGCGATGCCACGCATTGCAGGAGTGCAAGCGCATTGCAGACTCGGTTAGAAGCAGCAGCGGTCAACTGCGAAGGGTTAAGGAGGTTGTAAACCGAGATAATCTCTTGCATAAGAGAAGTCATCACACCTGGAAATTGGATTAGAATTAGCCCCTGAATCGGGTTGAATGCAGGGAGCTACTAACCAAATGAATGCCACAGGATGAGGGCGAGCTCAGGCACTTGTTCTCGCTTCTTGCTCAGTTCAAGGAGAGCTGCCTCGCGCGTAGTCTCATTAAGTAGGTCGGCAACGAAGGTCAACGTGCGACGATTATCCTCTGACACGTTTTCTAAGCCGTTATCCTGAACATGACCACCAACTGATGCGCCGATGTTCGTAGATACATTATTATGGGCACCTGCTAATCGATTATAATGCTGCTGCTGAGCTGCGGCTGCGGCGGCAGCAGCCTGTTGGGCCTGGTGCTGGTGGCTTTGCTGTTGGTGCATCCATGACTGGTCGGCATGTGGGTTGTATTGGTGGTGATTGTAGAGGTTCGGGTTTGGCAACATGGTGGCGGTTGATGATCGCGATCGTTTGAATTACTCTGGAGTACGGCGTAACTGGTTCTTGAGTATTGTTTCCTTGCTTAACTCCCTGCTTCGTCAGGCTCTCTGCACTTTTGGCCGGATCCAGGGTCTATATTTGCAGTCAGTACTCTCTCCTTTCTCTTTTGTCCCTCTCGATTAACCTACCTACGGTGTGTATTTACTGGACAGACTGAAGTTTTATGTCTTCGTAGATTTTGACGAGGCGAAAAAGAGGTTTCCGGTTGGTCGCATAAGTTTTGGGATCAATAAATTAGGATCGGTTGGAATCGGTTGATCGCGCTTCTCTCGTGTCTGTTCGCCTTAACTGTTGTAATATGAGGGTAAACCTGTAATTCGGTGACCAGCTAATTCAAGTGTTGTTAAGTCGTGTATAGAACTTAGAATTGAGTTTACTGGAAACCCGACGGCCAGGTACGCTTGGGCAACCAACTGTTAATAGCCTCTTCTCGGATAAGTAGACGAAGGTTCTCGCACGAAAAAAATACAATCAAGCAGATTAGTACCGTACGTAAGAGGGCGCTGCACTATGAAGAGAGGATATGGTGGTATGGTATGGGAAGAATTACAGGCTCAAATCTGGATATCGATAAAAGTTGAAGAAAGTTGAAGTGGTTGCAGGGCTTTGCTGTTCCCAGCGACGAAGCACCGCGTCGTATTTTGCCGAACGGAATGGGGGTCTATAGGTACGTACCTATCTACCTAAGGTAAATGGTCAGTGCTTCTTTACCTTCTCAGCCCTAGCTTGGTTGCGCCGCAGCGGGGTTGTGCACGGACTATAGATATCTACCTATGCATTCAATGATATCTATACTGTATTAATACATGAAATATCATTCACTAGGATTAATGCACTTAATGCAACTGTAGACGTCAAGGTTCCCCCCTATTCCCCTCAGGTCATCCCACCTATTAACATCGTTTTCGGTACTCCCCACCTAAGGATTCTATGTCTACGAAAATTCAATGATGCTTAGGTAGCTGACGTCAATTAACAAAGTAAGAACTTAACACAGTTAATTATATTTACCTAAATAGAGTGTACCTCTTTGCACTTTAACAGATACGTGTATAAGGTATCTATTAAATAGAGAAATTAAAAGCACTGAATTAGGCTTGTTCTAGTATTAGTATTAGTATAAGTAGACAATACACAAATTCCTTGTACATGACGAATGGACCATTAAAGGGGGAAATAAGAGGACTATCTCTAATCTTAATAGCATAGAAAACTACACAGTACCTAACTAACGTTGAGAGTAAAACGAACATAGTTCGTTTTAAGAAAAATATTACTACATTATGTCCATCGCGGATAATAATAACGTGATTAAACACCGTACGTCAGCCCAAACAGCTGCTGCCACTATGCCATTTATCTACCCGTCGCCGAAGATGTACTGTCTACATTACTACCTGTATTTGCTATTAGGAAAACATCAATCGTCGTGAAGTCCATTCGCCAAAACCTGCCAATTCCATCATATCCTTACAACAGGCTCTAGGTACAGCACATGTCCTCGAAGAGCCCCTATTGACAGCGACACAGCCCACTCTTCAAGAAGGGATCGAGAATCAAGATGTATTCCAACACTAATACACGGCCCTTGTTTCATAGGGGGGTGCCGCATATAGAAGACACGCATTATAGTACGAGGAATTCATGCGCTCCGACCCTTTCGATCACCTTCCACCAGCGGCCACCCCGAAACAAATCCAAAGAATTATCGACTCATCAAGATACTCGCAGTACGTCTTCAAATCATAGGCGCAACTCCTTTAGAATCTGGTCTGCCATGTTCTTGAACTGCCACGTATTTCCTGCCATACGCTTGAACTGGATTCCATGCAACGAAAGCAAGGGAACCTTCACAATGAAGATTTCAAATTCCAAAACCATATTACCGCCTAGGTCGCTGTGCACGTGAGTCGTTGTTTCGCCGGGAACTCTCCTCGACGAGGCGGTTGCATCCCGGTGAATACTTTCGGGGTCGGAGAGTTCCGAAGTAGAGTCGCTTCGATCGGCAGGCCCCTTTCCTGGCGTGCGTGGCGTAGGTGGAACACGATCCATTTCTCGAAGCTCCTCGCGGTCTTTATCCGTCCTGATACCAAAGCTGAACCTACGGCGGTGATTAGGCATCGGGGCCGGGCTACCTGGTGCGTCTGATGCCTTCTTGAGATCGATGCTAGGTGCGTGGCGACAAGAAAAGCCACCACGAATCTCCGTATAATCAACTCCTAGTTGTTTTAACACCCTCTTAACATCTGTACGGATAGCAGGCACTGATTTAGTCGATGTTGTGGAAACGCTGAAGAGACCCTTTAGGAAAACCGGCTTTGCTAGCTCCGAATCGTCCAGACGCTCCGCTGAATTTCCGCTTGCTTCACCAAGTTCCTGATCCGTCTCTTCGGGCACACCAGCGGCACGAGCACCTTCCCTACGCAATCTCCTTGCCTGTATGCTCTCACGACGAGCATGGCTTAATGGCTTTGCCCTCATAGATGTAGCTCGAAGGTTCAAGGAGGTCTTCGGCTCCGGTGGGACTTTATCGGTAGCTGCCGACTGATCGGATCCGCTAGTTGGTGGCGGCTCCTTGTTGATTTTGTTCGCAGATCCGAATGGCCGTCTTCTAAACTCTGCCGAGCTCACACTCGTCGACCTTCCCAGGCCCTTGTTACTCCCAGACAAGTTAGCACCGGCAGAAAGAGGCGGGCTAAGTAGATCTCGATGCTGTGGCTGGCTGCTCCCAGACCGTAACCTTGTCGGCTTATGCTCGTCTCGATCGCGTCTAGACCTACGTATGCTAAAGCTCTTTCGCGGTGATTCTAGCGCATCGGCTGGCGAATGAACTTGGACTACGGGCGGATGTGAGCGATCTTTATCGAGCCTTTCTGGTTCTTTACGACGCCTAGTGCTGAACCGTCTAAGGATACCGGCAGCAGTGCTTTCCTTCTTCGGCGGCGGATCTGTAGGTATCTCCGGAGGTGCAAGTGTGCCCTGTGGTGCCTTCTTAAGTTCCTCCGGGGCATCATCTTCCCCGTGAGTTCTGGCACGAGGTCTCGACCTTCCCCCTGTAGTCTTCTCTCCAGCCATTTCATACGTTGCCGTATTAGTGTGAGCCTCGGGAGGTGGGATAATTTCTGGCATCGGCGAGTCTGCCACATTCTTCGGTGTATGAGACTTCGGTACAGCATCTACCTTGTCTCGGTCTTGTTTCTCTTTCACTAGGTAGTATATAGATACCAGAGGGCTGAATGCATTAAGCGGATCGGCGCCGATCTGGAGCGCATCCGAGCTTGGAGTCGTCAAATTATCGCGGCTACTCCCGGAGTTGCGTCGCTTGTAGAAGTCGAATCCAAATCCACGCTTCTTCTCTACATCCTTGGGCGCAGGTAGCACTTCCTTTTCCTTCTGCAGAAGCGTCACAGCGCGTTTATAATCTTCGGATTCGATGACTTTAGTGAGCTGAGCTTTAATCAGGTCTGGAGGGCCAAAGTTAAAGCCAGTCATAGCATTGATGACTTCTGGTTCGAGAGGGAGTGTTAGAGGCTCCCGAGCGGGGAGGTAGTTCTCGGGAGGACCGCCATAACCTTTGATCATCCAAGGGTGGTTCATGACTTCGTACATAGTGGCTCGTTGTCTCGGATCGGTGACAAGCATGCGAGAAAGGAGATGTCGGCATTCTGGATCCATGTTAGAAACTAAGACAAACCAACCGAAATTAAATCACTTGCCATTAGATAGCCAGCTAGGATAATCGACAAGCCCCTTCTTAATCTTTGCGTGGAGAGCTGGCATGCTCTGATCGTCAAAGGGGACTTTACCACACACCAACACGTATAAAACAATACCAAAGCTCCAGACGTCAACCTCGGGACCAGTATAAGCCCGTGCCTGAAGGAGTTCAGGGGCGGCAAAGTATAGACTGCCGCAGAAGGTCTTAAGGTGACCACGGGGGGCAAAGAGGTTGCTGAGACCAAAGTCAATGATTTTGATATCGCCGGTCTTACTAATAAGGATGTTCTCGATCTTGAGGTCGCGGTGTACTATGCTATTTCGATGGCAGTAGTCGAGCGCACTAGCGATTTGTCTGCTGAACTTCCTTGCTTGCTTCTCCTTTAACTTCCCGTGAGAGATGATATAATCTAACATCTGTCCGCCATTAACGTATTCGAAGAGCATGTACCAATGGTAGTTAGTTCGAACCACATCACGCATACCGCAGATGTGCGGGTGCTGTAGGAGAGTCACAATGGCTGCTTCACGCGCGGTTCGTATTTCTTTCGATTGATCAGCCCTCTCCTTATCAGCTCGGCTGTGGTGGTTATCTTCGGTAGAGCCTCGAGGAATAATTTTACAAGCAACCTACGTAATCATAGTTAGATAATGGATTGGGAGATCTTAAAAGATTAAAGGAAAATAAGAATGCTAACCTGTTCTGTTCCATCTTCTTTACGAGCTAGCTTGACCTTACCCATGCTACCAGCACCGATGGTCTTGCCTAGAATCCATTTTCCAGATTGGGTAGGGATAGAGGTTCTCGAAGTTCTTTGCTTTGTAGCCCGGGCATCTACTGCTGCTTGCATAACGGGCGGGATAGCAGCAGGGCCGGCATTGTTTGCGACAGCAGTTGGGCCTGCCATATCGCTCTGAGCGTGGGTTGACCGAGTGCTGCTTCGACGGTGAACTCCTTTAGAATCGTGACCACGCGAGACTAGAGGAGGGCGATCTTTGCTAGAATTTCGTTTTGATTGATGATGAGTAGCAGCTACGTCAGAAGTCTCATAGTCTTTCTGTGGTAGAATGTCTTGAATAGGACGACCGGAAGACGAGGTCTGACGGCTATGATGGCGGTGATGATGGGAGGCCGAGGTAGAACGAGTTAAAGGTTGACCGGAATTGTGCTGGGAGGTCGAAGCAGCAGCAGCAGCGGCAGCAGCAGCAGTAGAGCTTGTCGGACGTGAACGAGCCGAGTGAGTGCGCACGGGTGGCTGGGTCTGGTGTGACCTCGGGGATGATGAGGAGGAGGAGGAATGACGGTGGTGGTGATGACGATGCTGATGTTGGTGTTGTTGTTCAGTTGCCGAAGTGGACATCGCTTGGTACTGTTATTGCTACGGCTACAACAATATTGTACAGTATAATTGTTGAATAACAAGTACAAGGGGGACCAAGCTGATGTGACAGCGCCTTATTCAAGGGCCGATGCTTCTTCTCCATAAAAAGCTATAACGAGAATTGGTTCTTTGCTGGGCAGTTTCCAGAGATTTGGGCAGCGGATGGCGGGCAGTGGACAGTGAGTGAACAGTGGGCAGTTTAGAGGAGTAACCAACCTGCAAATGGCAAATAGCCTGGGCAGACAAGCGGGCAGGCGGGCAAGAACCCCTGGTTTCTTGGTTTTGGTTCTTTTGCTTGGGGTACGCCGCAGTTATTGCAAGGTTGCTTGGTTGCTTAAATCGCTGGAGCGACGTGGTACGGTTGACGGTTTGACGGGTGGAAGCCTCGCATCAATTCGTAGTCCTCGTTACTTCTTCTTTTTTCCTACCTTCTTAACCTTCCCACCTTCGTACCTTCCCCCCCTTTAAAGAGTTGTTAATTGGCTCCGGTGATGTGTAATGCGTTAGCGTATGAGACGCTAATACACTACCTTTAGGTCTACTAGCTTATTGACCGAAGTTACTTAACACTGTAGGTGTACTACGGTATATTTAGGTAATCGGTGTCGCATGTATTGTACCTTACGGTTAGCTCCTAAACCAGGTGGGCTCTTTGGCAGGTTGGCTTGTATCAGGTGTACTTACCCTGCCTACGTGTAGTAATAAGAAACGTCAAATAAGGGACAACCTCCACCGGCGAATTTAGTACCGGCGACCGTTCTAGTACAAAAAATACGTGTGAGGTAGTACCTGGATTTACGTGCCCTGCATTCAGCATCCAGCGTGCCCCCAGAACACGAGACCAATCAACGTCCGATGATACAGTGGCAAGGAAAGAGAAGATCACAATTGAATTTCACCCCGCAGCTTGTACGGAAAGTCCGTAAGGCAAAACTGATATATCAAGATACAACAATATCATATGAGAACAGTATCATATGAGGGGAACGAAGAAAATAGGATGAGTGTCACACCCATATATTTGACTCCATCGCCTCCGTTAAAATATTCACGTAGGCTGGTAGATAACTCAATAATTCATTAGAAAGACTTGGGTGAACAAAAGCTGGGCTTGACCGAAGCTTCACTAATGCATTCTTTCCACATAGTGCATCGAACTTTCCCTAGCCGCATCTCGCTACCACGTACATGTCTTTAGTGCGGACCTTGACGAGCTTGTTAGTGGATGTTGTGGCTTAGGTTTAAACAGAATGACGAAATAAAATTTAACCCCTGGAACTAAAACATCAACTGTGCCGTATTCTTTGACATGAATTCGCACAGCTGAAGCCTCAACTAAGAATTATTATATACAATTTCATTAACTTTAAGATGGCATAATTATTAAGTGATCAATATCGTTCGAAACCCTCTTCTAAACGAGGTTTCCTTGTTACTGTGTTTCAAGTGCTGGATCCTCTACTTACCATAGCGAGCTGATCAAGTTGATTTGTACATATCAATGTGATGATTGGAGGGGTATGACGACAATACCTGAGTGCTTTCGCCCACTGGTCGACAAGGTTGTATTAAAAATCGAAGCTTAACAGATCAGGAAAACAATCCCATTTTCGTTCGGTCAGTCAAGGACGATGATAGGTTGAATATTGGCGACCATGCCGTTTCCGTTGAGTTATTGAATGGGGAGAGCTTGATTGGACAGTGTAGCGAGTTGGATCCGAAGGAAGTAATCGCAAAAAAGTACCGCTGTTCAACTGCAACAGGACGTCCTACGTATCATCATATTCTCGGTAACTGTTAAAAGATAGTTATATTTATTAACTACCTAAGTTGTCTTACGATAAACATACTAGTTATTTTTTCTATGCAAGTTTAGAGGTTATTGTTAAACGTTGTACAAGTGCTCATTTCAACTCAATATATCTCAAACTTGATGATAAGCCTAAGGATAACTATCTTGACTTGAGATCGTATAATTCATATCTATCAAATACTTATAGCCAACAAGCATCCGCGGGTAGAACAGGGGTACAACAAGCCGCAACTATTCCTCTCGGGAATCTTTTAACACGAGCTATCGGTAGAAGACAATGAGTTTAAGTTTGGCATATCTCTCTAAATAGTAATCAAGTGCATTGCTAAGAGGTAGCTATAGTGCAAAAGTAAGATTCAGGAACAAGACTGAAAGTTCTATCAATAGCCACTTACACATGATATGTGCTCAACATGAGTTGCCAGTGTACGATATTATCAATATAGACTTAGCCAAGTTCAACATAACTCCTTTCCATTTCTTAGGTTTCCCCGGCTATTTTTATATTAAGTGCGGGAGTTGCCGTTCATGATAGCTATTATTATACGGATAATGTATTCGTAGACGATCAATGGCTGAAATATATGATTCTTTTCTAGAATTAGAAGGGAAGGGATAGTATATTTTATTAATATATGCTCCTTACATTATCTCGTCCGATGATGAGCTAGGATGACCTTGGAGCGGTACGGTACTCAAGATCGAATATGGAAGCTGACTAGGATAGCTACATACTGCTTTAATCTTGTACTACAGAGTAAGCTGCAGCGGCGCGTACAGGGATGACCCGATATGAGATCTGACATGCGTTTCTCATCACGTTTCTTATTACGTTTGCATATTCTATTAGCCGTTTCCTGAGAAATATCTCGTAGGCGTAAGATTTGTCCTGCACTGTGATTCTAGATCGATACATGTAGTAGTGGCACAAACTTCCATATTCATAGGTAATTTGATATGAAGGACGGCTTACTTACTATTTGTTTCTATGTGGAGCGGCTACAATCCTCGTTTAAATTACTGCCGAAGCTATCGGTCGTTCACCCGGTATCGTCTAGATACCCGTTCTTTAGCTTGACTTGCGGGTTAATAGTTTGATATGATTTAGTTTTTCATAATTGCTAGCATCCACCGTGTTCATCCCTTTTTAGGAACTATGGACCCATTTCGCTTTTGCGAGGTTTATTATATACCTAAACTCTCTAAGTAGGGAATGAAGGAATTCCAATTGATGAGCAGTGAGTTATTGTATACGGGTGAATACTTGAGATTATAACATTGTTATACTTTAAAGGGTCAAGTTGAAGAAAGCTAAATAGTCTGATAACTTAAACTAATAACCAAGAACTACATAGTTATCTCTTATCGCCGATTATTTATCGATAAGTGAATTTAATAGATCTACAAACGCGCATGTACTTCAACTAGGTAACATGTTCGTGTACGTACCTTACCTATGTAGAATACATTCCTCTTCTTACACTTAGACATCGATTTGATAACTTCGTTCCCTCTTCTATACTTCTTTATTGCCAACGTCACTAGATTACTAACAAACCCACAAATTGCGCGAATGCCTTCTATCCCCCCTTGCAGCTAATTAGCCTCATGTCATTCAAGCGATCCCGCGCCACCTTCGAAGCCGACCTCCAAGCTCAGCAATCGCCTTACGTTCTCTTCGGCACCCCCCTACCACCTCTCGATCCCGAAGTCCGCGACGACGGTTCTTACGTCCCGGTATGGAAGCAGGAAGTGCGGGATGAGCGCGGTCGAAAGCGTCTCCACGGCGCCTTTACAGGCGGCTGGAGTGCTGGGTACTTCAACACCGTTGGGTCAAAGGAAGGATGGACGCCCTCGACCTTTGTCTCCTCGCGTGCGAATCGCCGCAAGGATGATACGGCCCCTAAGCAGCAGCGGCCTGAGGACTTCATGGATGAAGAGGATCTAGCTGATGCGGAAGAGACGCAAAAACTACAGACAGCACAGGAGTTTGCCGGCCTGGGAGCTACGGATGAGGATGGCTTGTTGCGACGAGGCGGCGGGCTTGCCGACTTATTCCGAGTTCAGGGTGATACTATGGGTGTTAAGCTTCTACGAAAGATGGGTTGGAAGGACGGCCAAGGAATCGGTCCTAAGGTCCGTCGAAAAGCTCGACTCGATATCAGTAGTAAACCTGGCAATTCTACTCAGGAAGGAGGAGATACGTATCTCTTTGCGCCGGATGACGTGGCTTTGATATCTTTCACAAGGAAGCTAGACCGCAAAGGATTAGGCTACGAGGGAGAGGCTAGATTGGCGCCGATGAAGTCGGACACAAGAGTGGAAGCCGGCTCGAGTTCCGACGAAGATTCGCACAACGGACCCTTAATACGTCCAGGCGCGCTTAAGAAAAAGAAGCCGAGTAAATTTGGAAAGGGCGGGATCGGTATTGGTGTTTTAAATGACACGGGATCCGACGACGAAGATCCATACGAGATCGGACCGCGAATATCATATAATAGAATTATAGGAGGGGATAAGAAGAAAAAGAAAGCAGCGAACATAACGACATCAGCTAATCCGGCATTGCGCTCTGCACCTGTTTTCATATCCCGAAAAACCGCCCTCGCGCAAGCAGGCAAGAACCTACGAAAATGTCACGACGGTCGGCTACACCTTGACGGCTTCGTCTTTGGAATCGAGACGGACGACCTATCATCTACCATCAACACCGAAGTCAACAAATACCCGCCTCCCGAAATACCACCAGACTGGAAATCCAGCAAGCAACGCGAATCCGACACATCAGCAGCAGACTACGTATCCACCGCCGACGCAGCCAAAGCCTCAAAACTAGACCCTAAATCGCGCGCCGCGCTCCTAGGTGAGGCTCAACTCCCTGGTAAATCCGTCTTCGATTTCCTTTCCTCCTCCGCGCGCGACCGCCTCGCCACCGCAACCGGAAAGACTAATCTTCCTCCCGCCCTGGGCGAGATCCCCGAGGGATACGCTTTAAGCGAGGAGGAGAAGCGGCAGGAGCTCTTGCGCCAGGTCCCCGAGCTCGACAAGATGACTGCCGCGGCTGCGATAGCTCGCGGCGCAAGCGGTGGCGCCGCGCCATATGCAGATAATGAGGCGAAGCGCGCGCGATATAGGGCGTATCTCGAATGGGCCGCCGGGTTTAACGCAAACCCACCGTCCCGACTCCCCAGCGTCAGCGCAGAAGATTGGCTGCGCGAGCTGCACGAGTTCCGCAGCTGCGCGCTGATTTTCAAGCCCATGACCGGCGCCATGGCCTCGCGCTTTACCACCTCTTCTTCGTCTACTGCCTCAAAACTAGCTACCGGTTCCTCCGGCACCGTCCCCTCGAGTCGCGATCTACTGTCCGTGCCGCCGCAGAAACCGGTCGATCCTGCGGAGCAGGCTGCAGGTCTGGGCATGTATGGTTCTATGACGAGGTCTGTGGGCGACTTTTACCCGACGAGGCTGCTGTGCAAGAGGTTCAATGTGAGGCCTCCTGCGCATGTGCAGCCGGACCAGCAGTCGGAGTCGGATAGGGGAGCAGCAGCAGCAGCAGCAGCGTCGAAGAGCTCGTATGGCTCGAGTGTGGGTGTGGGTATGCCTGGGTTTACAACAGGTGCAATGACGTTAGATGAGCTATTGCAGTCGGCGCAGGCACAGACTAGTAGCAACGCAGATATAGCGGTACCAGCGCCAAAGGCAATTGAAGCACCGCCACCGAAGACAGAAGAAACGATGATAAACGCCGAAGTCAACGAGGCGGTAGAGGGCAAGCGAGCGCAGGACGATGTGCTAAGGGCTATATTTGGGGATAGTAGTGACGAAGAAGACTAGACCAAACTGCCTTAGGTAGGTACTTTAGGTACCTAAAGGACGAGTACTGGGTATGAGATAGATAGATAGATAGAAGATATGTATGATGGAAAGAAATAGTTGCTGGTTGCATAGTTATACCCCGCCGAGAACGATTCTATACGATAAGAAAGCACACGAAGAATATTTACCACACAGGTCTATGAGTGCTTGGTATTGTGTATATGTTATAATACGTGATGCCGCTTTGGATATATGGTCTATTAGCGATCTATGTTCGTAAGACAGGAGGAGATTAAGATAGCTTTCCGGGCATCTTCAACCCCTTTCTACGGTATCATTGTGGTTATAATTCATGGCTTGTATAGAATCACCATCACAGATTTATGAATAAATCAATACCATATATCCATAGAGACCAACAAGCTCTGTTGCTCTATTTTATTTTTGAGACCACCCCATCATGATACCCCGTTCCTGGTATATCATATGGATATATCGACACAACCTCCCAACCCATGCCACGCAAACGCTGCTACGCATCACAACCGTCCTACTTAATGTGTAGGCTTCATAATAGGCGCAATAATACCCTGCTTTATCAAAATCCTCGGCTTCGTCGCCTCCTGGAACGTCTCCTTGGTCATCCACTCGGGGCCCACGGGAAGCCTCAGCGCGCGCTCATACTGCAGCCTGGACTCGTAAGGATGCGGTAGCTGAGAGGCCATGAACTTGTCGTTCTGTAATTAATCAATGTTAGCCTCCATTCCATCCCCGGAATATAATAGAATTGGTTAGTAAATAGGGGGGGAAAATAGCATACCTTCTTAATCCTCTTCTCATTAACAATAACGTTCTGCATCCCCATGTCCTTGCGGTCCTTCTTCTTGACGCCCTCCTGCTTGGTCAGGAACCGCCCCTGGTGCCGCTTCTTCTCGCGATTGCTGACGCCGTCACCGACCCAGCTACCCCAGCCGGGAAGCGTGTTGTCGATGATCTTGTCGTCGTCTTCCTCTTCGATTGCTGCTTTTTCTTGCTCGAACTCGGCGACTACGTCTAGGCCGCCGAAGGCTTTCTCGATGAGATCTTGCTCGCGGAACTGGATGGGTAGGTGGCTTGTCTCGTCGTCCGAGGAGTCGTCACCGTTAACAATCACTTGTTTCTTGCTTGGCTTGGGTTTCTTGGCCGGTACTGCAGAGGCTGCAATAGCCACCGAATCGATTCCAAGTTCTAGCACTTCTGCGCTGGACCCTGTCTTCTTGCCTTTTTGTTTCCTTGCCGGACCGGCTATCGTAGGCTGACTCCAAGCACCCGCTATGGAATTTGGATCTGCATCTTGTGACACTGGGGCTGAGAGGCCCTTTGATCGACCGGGCTTTGTGGCTGCGATGTTGTCCCTGGCTGTTTGAAGGTCTGTAGCTTCTGCCTTGTCCTTCTTGCTAGCTTTAATGAGCTTCTCACTAGATTTCTCGAACCTGCTTCCTGATGGCTGGCCAAATTTTCGTCGACCAATATCCGCGCCTTCGTCATCCGAGTCTACAGCGTCCTCGTCATCTGAGGCTAGGTCCCGCCGTATTTCGGCTATTAGTTCATCATTGGCCTTTCTCTTAGCTGCCTCTGCTTTCTTCATGAATTCCATATTCATTAATTTCGACTGTGGCGCATCGTCATCGTCGGAAACGTTGTTAAGCTGCTGGAGTAGTCTCTTCCGCTCGTCAACATCATCCGACCCGCCCGAGTAATCAGAGTCCTCATCTGAGTCGCCGTTCGTCTTTGCTGGTTTCCCTTCGATACGACGGCGCAACTCCTCATCTCGCCGGGCCATATCAGCTATACCCACTCGAACATCGTCGTCCCATGCGGCACGCTTATTCTTATTAGACATTTTAGCCCATTTGCTTTCTCGATGCCGGGCACCCATTCTCTCTACAGCTCGCTGTCGGTCTTGAGCCTCACGGTCATCTTCCGAATCGACCTCCCCAGCGGCAACCATGGCTTCGTGCTCCTTCATTTCGTCTCTTTCCCTTTGCTTTCGGTGCACACGATGGTAGGCCTTGCTCTTAATCTTTTTAATACGCTTTGATCTTGCATCCTCTCGGGACTTGAGCTCCCTTTCGCGACGCTTCTCCTGCCACAGAGCCTTGAGGTTGTTCCCTGACAAGCCTTCGGCATCTGCGGATTCTAGGTCCTCCATCTGCTTGGCCTCTTTCTTGGTACTTGGCCCAAGCCCACTTTCTTCCATAATTGCGAGGATAGTCTTTTCTAACTCTGTCCCCGGCGCTTTACGATTCAGGGGTTGGATTTCGGTGTTATTATGCCTGGCAAGACCGGTCTCTGTCTGGGGGAGCGGAAAGACTAGATGGTCTGCTCTTCTGTTGTGCTTCACAGTTTCGGTCCAACGGTCCAAAGATTCATTCGTCTTCTCGTATGCGACAGTGCGATCTAGCTTTGCCTGCTGGCGTCTTGCGAGGGGCACCTCTAATTTCTGCGGCTTGCTCGATTTTTCTTCTTTGGTCATAAGCTTAAGGGACTTCTTTAATTGGGGATCTTTGATTCCTAATAAGCCTAAATCTTTCAACCCAATCTTTGGCTTCTTAGTTGGCACGACGTCTTGATCGTCTGTATCTTTCACCCCTCCGAACTTGGAAACCCATGCATTAATTCCAGAGTCTGATACATCATCATCTTCGTCGTCTTCAATGTCGGAAGATTCGTTGCCGGATGCCGCATCGTCTTCATCAGATTCTTCGTCAGAACCAGACTCGTCGTCAGCTCCAGGCTCCCCATCATCCTCCGACATGGACATATCTAGAGCTGCGGCAAGATCAATGGCATCGGATCCGAGAGAAGCACCGTCAGCATCGCTAATGTCCTCATCGCTATCGTCGTCATTATCATCATTGTTCTACAAGTTTCGTTAGTTATAATTATCAAGGAGATACCTAAGCTATCTCTCATTACCTTTTTCTTCGGCTTCTTTTTACTTCCACGGAAAGCGTAGTCCTCGAAACGTTCCTGGTCGCTCTCCCCAAAAGCATCGTCACTTTCTATCTCCGAATCGTCATCTTCGTCGACGCCAACTCGCCATTCGTTCCCGCTGCTGTCGCTCCCGTACTCGACATTTTCATCGCGTTCAGCGCCACGACGCATCTTCCTAGGCGGTCCTTCATCTTCATCTTCATCCTCGTCCTCGTCATCATCATCGTCTCTAGCATGCTTGCTGCCGCTACCACTTAACGGCACATCAAGTTCGCGATTGCGGGGCGTGCGCTTCTGACGGTCGGCATATTCCTCGGATGCGATAGCGAAGGCGTTTAGGGCCTTCTTAGTAGATTTCGATTTCGACCTCTTCTTACTTTTGCTGTTGGTAGTTGTACCGCCGCCAACGGGTCGTCCGTGGGCTTGCCGGCCTGGCATTTTGAAAAGCGAGAATTTGCCTAAGATTTCATAGATTTTGAAGGTGTCTATAAGCTGTAGTATATCGCGTGCTATACTATAATTTCCCTCTCAGAAATTGAGTGTAGACGACGAAGCTATGCTCAGTCCGTAGAATAGATAACTTTCAAGGTTATAGGTTCTAATCGATAATGCGAATTCTTACAAAACGAAAAGCGGTGTCTAGACTTTTTTTCTGCCGCGATAGTGGGGGAGCTCTAACTTTCTAACTTGCAGGGTTCAATTTAAACTGCAACCAACAAACTTAGAGTCTAGTAAGTACCTAAGTACCTATGCGACCCACCTACTTCGACGATTTTCAAGATCGCGAACTTCACAAAACAGCTTTCCAACCCGTGCGACACTTATACCCATCCCCACACCGATCAATCGGGCGCATTGCCACAGATATATAAATCTCATCTAGTTCTTCTTTTCTCTATATCCCATCGAAGAGAAAACCAGCCACGATGCAGCCCACCCAAGCGCTCCTAAAACGTTATCGCAAGCTCCCTCTAACAACCAAGGATATCAAGAAGGGTTTCTACAAGGGCACGCGAACAGGCAGCATGGGTCAGCACACCAAGTTCGGAGGATACGTTATCGACTGGGACAAAGTGCGGACATATGTCGTGCCCGCGGGGCTTGAGGCTTTCAAGGTATGCTCATATATATATATATCAATCGACAGTGATAAACCGGAGATGATGAACAACAAAATGGTGGCCAAGAATAGAAAACTAACGTACTATAATAGTTAACCCCATTCATCACGAGCAGGATCCGTCCAACAAGAGGCCGATACGAGGGCTACAGCATGGGCCCTAAGAGCCCGGAGCTATATTTAGAGAGGTGGAAGGCAGAGAATGGATTAGACTGAGGGGTCTATCAACTGAAAGGATCAAAAATCAAAAATAAAATAAAACGGTTGCTACTACAGGTTGACCAGGAGGGCCTAATCGGTAGAGACGTGCTTACGACTTATGGCTAGGACTGATCGAACCCCAAACCGCCATAGTTATGGATATGGATATGGTGGTGGTTGGCGAGTCTTTATGCCCTTCGACTTATACAGTACGAAAGTCATGATGATATTAACCCCAAATTACATTTAAAATATGTACCATATAAATCACGTACATCCATATATCTATAAAGCACATACCACCATTACTTCAAGTTGAAAAATTCAAGTTCAAGTCCAATTTCGAATACAATTACTAACTAGATTATTATTAACGAGGGTATATAAAAATAAGAATCAAAGGACATGACACTATCCAAGACTGGACAAATGAGATAGGATACCGGGTATATCGTTGTTTTCCTTCTCGCTAACACCTCAATTTTAAAATGATCATTTCCTGGTAGGTAGATCCTCCTGCGCGGTAACGAATGTCTCTAGTGGTGGCCTTTGTTGGCTTGTACCGGCCCCGTCCATAGTGACTAGCGGTGTTACTGGTGTACTGGCGGCCTCGCTACCTGGCGTAGGGTAAGCAGCCATAGGAGTCTCGGGACCGTCCGCCATGTCGGCGGTTATAGAATTAGCTCCTCGTTGCTTTAGCAAGTTAGGGTCAACTACTTCATCCCTCGCCTTTTCGGTGACGGTAGCGACAACCGCGGCACTGGTTGTTGCCATAGCATCAAGCTCTAGACTCAATGGCCTAGGGCTTGCAACCCGATCTGGGTGGTCGAAGGCTGAAGTCAGTGTGATCATACTGGCCGTCTCGGCCTCCTTATTGAGGGTGAAAGGTACAGCGATGCCGCCTACAGTAGGTCGCTTGCCCGCGACACCCGTCTCATGCGAAAAGTAATCTGGCGTGAGAAGACTGCCTCTAGGAGACGGCAATGATTCGGCTTGTCTCGATTTCTCTTCCCGCTGAGCCATAAGCATATCAATGGAGGTACTTTCGTTGATTTCGTCATCATCAGCGGTCTGCTGCTCATCCCTGACTATCTTCGTCCTTGATCGGCTTCGATTATGCCCAAGTTCTCGCCTGGCTACTTCCTTCCCTTGCTTTTGAAGATCATCTGGCGAGCGGGCTCCCTCCCCTTCTTCGGTAGTAGCAACTTTGACTTCTGGGGCTCTATCTGCTTCGTCTTCTCTGATCACTGTAGCTTCGTCGTGTTTAGAACCCCAGAGCGACCATAGAGCAAGTCCTACACTCTTCGTCTTCTTCTTGTCTGCGATATCCTCAGCTCCCCTACGCCTACTAGCAAGAGCAGCTGGAGGCGGTGTCTCTCCGTCAAACCCCACGTAACCTGCGGCCATCTCCTTAAGACGCTTCTTGTGTATCTTTGTACGGATGCTACCATAGCGCTTGTTCCATTGAGCTCGCGTTTCAAGCCACCTTCGTACTGGTGTCTCCTTGACAACGCCTATGATATCTCGGTCCATGGTGCAACCAACCAGCTCGGAGGCAGGCTCTAGGTGCCTAACGACTCCATGGCGGCTGACACGCTGGCGGATCATATGATTTTTGAATGGCGGCAAGGGGTCGCCGGCCTTTCCTACCTCAATCCTAACATCACTTTCCGTTTTACTTTTCTCCTTAGTAACTGTGTCTGTAGCTTCATTATCCGAACTCAAACTAGAGTTCGATATAACAGAGATATCATCATCGTCTTGGATCTCAATTCCTGTCTTCTGGGCTCTCGCCAAAGCCCAAGCACCAAATTGGGCTATTGATCGGTACATGAATTTTGCCGGCCTAGTGAAACTCAGAGTTGGTGCGACATGACACAGATCGTCCCAAACTTGAAGCTGAACATCGGTTGGTTTGAAACGCTTCAGTTGTTCGTATGCTGACTCGTGCATCGAAGACTCTGGAGGTAGGTACTGGGATGGATTGGCACATTTATGTGCTAGATATATTTGTTCATCTCGAAGGATTTCCCCACCACCCGTCATGATAAGTAGAGGTGGTAGTCCACCAAGGGTAGGCTGCATAACAGGGCTAACCAAAGGATGCGATAAGAGCTCGTTGGTCGTATACATCTAGAAGGATGTTAGCATATATTTGCCGGCCCTTGCTTTGTATTACATACCTGAAGCTGATCTTTGAGCTTAACTTCTTTACCATCGAGATTAACCGAGATATATGAGGTTTCAGCAAGAGTAGCGCCTTGAGAGTCACTGTCTGTTGCCTTTGTCGTATTAAGCTGCGCGAGGTCTTGAGGGAGAGACTTCGTTTCCACCGAGACGGGCTTCATTTTAGCTTGGCCCTTCTTATTGTTCTTATTTACCTGCTCAACCAATTCCGCGTACTCATCTGCATTCAAAGGAGGCCACGCCTTGGATGGCCTATGGTGAAAGCCACATTGAGGAATATAATCTAGAGGGCAATCCTGAGAAACGCTAGGAAAGGAATGTGTCAAGTCCACCCAAGGACTAATAAGAATGGCACCAGCAGGCAAAGGGATACCTCTATCCCTCATGGTAATCAGCATGCTTAAAACCATCCCGCCGCCAGCTGAGTCTCCGGCAAGAATAATTGTAGTTGGGTCTTGAGTCGTAAGCAGGTATAAATACGCTGCTAAGCAATCCTGGAGGCCACATGGAAAGGGAAACTGGGGAGATAATCGATATTCGGGCGCGAAGACCCTAGCTTTTAGTTTCCGCGCATGTCGCTGCATCTGGTACCGATGCTCATCAACACTTCCAAAGAAATAAGCACCACCGTGAACATAGAGCATGACTCTCTTGCCTGGGTCACCTGTCTTCTTACGCTCATGATAATCAGCCTTCATCTCGATCCATTCCGCCTTGAGGGGGCTACCGGGCTTCCGCCATTGCCACCAATTCCGACCGCCGACCTTCCTAATACCATCCGGTCCTAACTGCGCCTGTAAAGCACTCGCAGCTTCTACAAGCTTAGGCTCGGGGATCTCTACTTGATCGACTTTAACCCATTGCGGGTGTGGTACCCATTGCGAAGTGAAGGCTTGGATATCTTCGACCGTGTGATGCGACGCGAACGAAAGGAAAGATCGTATGAGATGTAGTCCCTCGTCGTACGAAAGGTGAGCAGTTGGCCGTTCGCGTAACGGTTTACGATTGAGGTACTACAACATTATCACCGTCTTAGCATGAACTCTCCTTATGAAGACGGTAGGCAACTTCGAACGAGGAAAAGTAGGACAGGAAGGTATTCCATTGGGCACCTACGTGAGACAAAAAGGTCGACAGGACCGTTGGCGTAACCGCCATAGATACGGTAGCCGTATTCATGGTCGCGTGTCTACGAGCTTAGCTTAGATTATATAGATGTAGCTTGTAAAGAAGCAGCTTTCTATAAGCTGTGATGACTCTTGTGGTTGAAGCAAGGCATTGGGCAACTAAAGTAATGGTGAGATTAGGGGTGGGTTACAAAATATACGCGAGTAACAAAGAGATTAAGTTATGTTCATGTATCTCGACATCTATTTCCTGTAATTCCTGTAATTCCTGTAATTCTTATAATAAGTGGATAGCTACCTCCTGGATTAACCTCTGGTTTACTTGGCAGTTGCCCGAATACGCATCTTAATTTCACAGGCCGGTCATTGTTGGTGATGTCATTGCGCTGCTTGTTTCAGACGATACTGCCATTTCGTTCCTCAGCGAGGTTAGCTGCAGCTCTAAAAGGAGAATCTGCCCTGAAACGGGAACGCGCATGATAAAAAAGGTTAGCGTAGATCTAATATCGAATCTCTGCTTTGCGTAACACAAATGCGGGTCAAGCTCGGTAGAATCGATTAAAAAAAAGATTGAAGAAATTGTTATCAAATGCCCCTCTATTGTATGTAAATGCGACGCTCAGGGTTCAGCAAAAAATATATCACCACTATAAAGGTTCCCACAAGATGGAGTCGACAGAAGCAGGACCGTCGCCGGGTATGTTATATATTCCCTGATTTATCAAATTTGTCTTATTATTACGCTAAATACTAACCGGACTAAATTTTATAGAAACCCGACAGCTTCAATTTGAGCAGGGTGTAGCTATCTCGCTACACCTATGGCTCTCGCTAACAGTCGCGGTGCAAAACGGACTAGGCGGTTCCGACTCCGAGGATAAGCGCGACTGGTTCGCCGGTGCGATCGTCGACATGTTTCCTAGTTTCGTCGACCTCGCCAAGCCGCGCAAGCCTAGTCAAAAGCCCCTTGCTGAGCCCGACGCTGAGGATGTTGAAGCCACCCTGCTACAGGTAATGTGGGACGAGTTTGAGACGAATGTCGACGATGACTCCGAGGTTGAGGTGGCCGAGCGCATCGTCAAGGTCCGCACTCAATGCGCCGCCGGAGATTTCGAATTCATCGAGGAACTAAGGCGCAGATGGCTAGCTACAAAGGGCAAAACAGTCAAGGTTCAGGAAGTAGATGCCGGAGATCAAGAGACCGACTGGGAGAGCGAGGACGACGAGGATGATGAGGATGATGATGTTGAAATGGATGAAGCGCCTGCTCTAGTTGCAGCGCCTAAGGAGAAGCCACCTCCAGAGGTAGACGAGGACGGCTTTACAAAAGTTACACGAAAGAAGCGCTGAGCACGATCATGCCATGTCAAATTTTGAACTGCAGACTCTAGGGGAGTAGAGTTGCAGGTAATGACACAGCAAGTTTGAGACGAAGTATGCTTAAAATGATATAAACAGGGCAGGCAAGGCGGACAAATATATCATGCGTTCGGAACCAATCCAACAAAAGCCAGCAACGCCTATGAGAGCACCAAATCCGAACAGCCCATACCAACAGGAAGAGCGGCAGTATGCCAAGGATCAAATAGTCGCATTACTCCCATTCATCATCATCGCTGTCATCGCTATTATCCGCTTTCCGGGCCTCCTTGGGACTGTTCGGGGCCTGGCTTGGATTTCCGGACGCCGCGCCTACAACATCGTAGCTCGTATCGCTGTCAGGTTGAGATTTCTCATCGTTGGACTTACGAGGTTCGGATGGCTTCAAACGGTTCTTGTCCGAAGTGGTAACTGCCGGCGGGTGGATTGTTGTAGAGGACTCGGTAGAAGCCGGCCGCGCGGGCTTTTCAGTCGGCTTTTGCACCGGCTTAGCTGGCGCCGTATCTTCGTCGGACTCTTCGTCAGATTCTTCTTCCGATTCCTCCTCGTCGGATTCCTCGCCCCATCCAATCTCTTCTTCGGCGGAGGCGGCTAAATGCCAGTATATTAGCTAGATCCAAATAAGCGTAGAAAAAAAGACAAATCATAACAAACCCTTTAATAAATCTCGGCGACGTGCTTCAGCTGTCTCGATACTATGTCGGAGGAAACAGTATCGCCTCCAGAAGTCTGCATAGGGAACCTTGTCGGGAACAAGCTTTTCCATGTTCGCTCGTAGGTCCGGATACTTGGCCAGGGCAGCGCTGATAACCTCAGTCTTGCTTTCTACATCGAAAGTCTTGGACCATGCAGCATATTCGGCGCCGGTTGGATCTTCTGTAAAACTCTTCTCGGTCGTGTGTAAGACATGAAGCTGTGCATCGTATCTCGAAGTGTGAATTACTCGCTTTCCGGACTCATCCTTACTCTCGAACCGGCGGGGAGTTCCCTTGGAGTCGTCTGATTCTGAAGCAGGCTTTACAATGATAGCTTCACGGAAGAAGTCTCGGATGTTTCCACCAAACTTTAAGAGCGCCTCGTCGGCAGCGTCTTCGGCACGTTGGATATCCTTCAAGCGTTTTGCGGCCTCGGCCTTCAGTCGTGATATGACCGTTTCAGAGTCCTTAGCCGTCTCATCGGAACCAGACGCTTTGTCCGTTGTCGGGGTTCTCTCCGGATCTTTATCTTTATCACCAGACGGTGGCGCCCTCTCCGTAACGGGAGGTGTTGTGGTTAACGAGAGAGCCCTCGCGCGGAGGTTTGCCAAGCTTCGGGTAGCATCTACACCGAGCGATGTGACCTCTTGCTGTGCCTCTCTGTATACAGACCCGCCCTAGAATAAATGTTGGGTTATTCAATAGGTCTTATTAAATCCAATAATTAACATACCTGTTTGATAACGTTACCGACAGTTCCACCAAGCCATGTGCCCCAAGAGCTGCTGGAGAACGCACGGTATGCGTCCTGAAGGTCTTCATTAAGAGTATGCTCGGGTTTCTGCTGGGAAGATTCTGCAGCCTGATTGCTAGTGTTGCTATTCTCCTTGCTATCCTTCGGAAGGCCTTCTTCGACTATGTGGTCGTATGCGAAATCCATAGTGGCGTGGTATCAGGGGTATAAAATACTATAAAACTAAATGACTAACAGACAAGTAATCCCGTAAGACCCCTCTTCCACAATAGAGATGGAGGGGTACTACGTAAATCACAAGGAATGTTGTTAATGGCTGTTGTGGCCGAGGAAATGTACTGCCGTTGCTATCGAATGATGAAGTCGGTATCGGTGTTTCTTGAGTATTCTAGGATTGGGTGACAAGTTGACAAGGCTGACCCGTTTCCAATCTGCCGATTGACGTATCGAAAGGCTACGCGGTCTTTCCCCCCCTTTGCGAATCATCGTTCTGTACCTGTCCCGCACATTTGGCACAAGAGATACTTTTCTAACCTGAAGGTGCTTACCCCTTATAGTTTAGCTCGTGTTGGTAGAATAGGTACACAGCTTTAACAAATGCGGGGAATAGCGGACATATATAGCTCTTCACCGCGATTATTCAAATAACTGAATACATGTACCTAAGTACTACGCTGCCAATGGATGGCAGGCACATTGCATGCAGTCGTCGTACGTATAACCTTTAATATCAAGATATGGGAAATCGCTACCGCGCTTAGAGTTTTCTGCCGTCTCTCCTGCCATCTACATAGACAACCTGCCAGTCAGACTACAAATGAAAGGATCATCATGTATCACGTGGGCATAATCCCGAACCGGCCCTTGCCTATTATGCACATGTCCACTAGGTATTACTTTATTACTTCGTTCACACCTTGAGTTTGGTTATATGCCAGTATGCCAGTTACACAATGTATGTGGATTTAAGTTCAACTTACATCTTTTAAATCCGCAAAAGAATCCGCATATTTGCTTCGGGCTTTGAACTATTTAATGTATATCTTACATAGTTCTTATTTTTATATTAAAGCAGCATTTGTTATTTCGTCATTCAGATGCAGAGTCTCCAATGCTATTCACCGCTCGATATCGGAGTTGCTGCTTTTGTAAGGTATTTATAGTGGACAACTTACACTTACATGCCCACCCCGAACTCCCCACAAGCTTTCTAGAGCAGCTCGTTATAAGACCTAATATCGAAATTCATGCATTTCCAAGAATCCCTAAACGCAACTCAGTTTAGGGCTTATCGCTTATGCCTCGAAATAGCGGTGCTCATTCTAGAATTCTGGAATTCTTACCCCAACGAAAATTATTTGCAGAGAACTTGCTGTAGATCGGCCGGGTTGTTACAGTCTACGGATCCGTACACAGTACCTATTATACATAACAGTATTATGCAGTACTTGCGCAGGTTATGAGGCTGTCAGCTCGGTATTAACGTTCGTTGGCAAGTACTGTAGGCATGGCATTCTTGGGTATCCCGGCATTGATCGGTACATCGATATAATTTATTTTGTTCTACGAACTTCTCTATCCAGATCTGCCCACTGCTTTGGGCCTGGGCTGGCCGGTGGCTACATATCGCTACAGATTGTTACAATCGTACCTCATCTTAGGAAGGTATTATGCTGATCACCAGGCACCAGGTTGGAAACGAGTCATCATCCAGCCACCAGACACCAGGACACCAAGATCCATTGGATTCCCGAGCCCCGACGCCCGATGGGTGGGTATCAGTCACACAGTGAAGAATGGCGAAACTGAATCAACTTCGCCTCTCCAATAAGTACTTTAAGTACTTTAAAGGCTAAATTCGTGCATACATAGTACTATAGTACCTACTCGCCTACTACTATACTGTATGTAGAAGTAAAGAAGACAACTTGGAACGTGACTCGGTTCCATCAAACAGCCCGTGGCCGCTGAGCCGTTTCTGTCCCACAATGGGCCCCCATGTCCCCATGTCCCCAAACGGTACGACGGTACCATCTTCTCATTAGAGAAATCTCACGCCAAGATGGCCTTACTAGCGACCTACGTACCTCATAACATGTACGGATGTCCCTTTCAAAAGTTTTTACCATAGGGAACCCCTGTCAAGATTGTCGCCAGCTGTTTGATACTTGGCCAGCAACTGTCGGGTGATTTAAAGATGTATACATTATTATCCCTAAGTTTTACTACTAGGTTTTACAGCCAAATATAAATCTAAAAAAAAAAAAGAAACTATTATATTAAAATTAAGTCTTTTATATTCATAATTTGTATTTTTGGGGAATTTTGAAATTTAGTTTAAGAAAGCTATATCCTATTGAAATAGCAGAGTAAAATAAGATACACATGTTAGAAAGGTGAGCAGTTGTTGCCAAGCTTGGTCAAAGCTTGCCGGGGGTGACAAGGGTCTTCCTATGGTAAAAACTTTTGAAAGGGACATCCGTATGTACATACATACAATACAACTCTCACCTCTCACTTGACCCAACCCGAAAAGCTTGCTCGCCTGCTATTTCCCAACATCCCATATGGCATACATATGGCACATCGAAGTGTGTATTCCCCACTGGGTTTGCAACCAGGCTTACCTTGTTCCTATCGGTAGTATCGTATATACAACAATATAGGTACAATGCAAGCTATTGTAGGCTAGTAGGCTAGTTCCTGGACGAAGGAACACTTCGAGATCCGAGGCGTCCTCAGGTGGGGACGGCAAGGAGAGACATGTCCGCTTGTCTGAGGAAACATGGTGTGAACGTAACATAAAGAATACGCAAAGGGCGCGATCAGCCACAAGGTAAGCTCCGCTAAAGTCCGAGTACAAAGAACGAGGAAATGTTCCCCGCCACAATGACAGTCTTTGACATATTCTTATATTGGACCATATAGCGCTTACAAATCGGAAAATTGCCTGTCTTCTACCCCCCTCTCTCGAATTCCTTCCATCGTGAAAACGTACACTCAATCTACGCTCGTCACACAGTCCGTTCTTTGCATACACATACCTATTACACGCCTCTCACCTTGACACGCTGTACCTGTCCAAAGAGAAGGGGGGTGTGCGTAAGCAAGTGGTGGTCCCTACGTCAAGTCTCTCTAAAAGAATATACGAAAAAAAAAGACGCCTGTTTTGTCCCTTCCCAACCCTCCATCTTCAGCCTCAAGACCCTAGGAGGCGAATATTTGTCCTTTCCTTTCAGGCATCCTAGCATCACTTACAAACATTGTCCGAGACTGGTCGTGGATACCCGAGACCTTCAGGACTATCAATATTCTGAAATTTATCTTATCTGATCTTTGAAGAGTTACGTCAATCATTAAGCGCAGCAATCGCTGCATTGCGCTTCAAGCCATCTCACATCCAGCTTCGCTTCCAAGCCAGTGTCGTTAGGAGCGTCGACTCGAGCTTAATCAACGTCTTTAGTCCGTTAAGAAGAGACGTCAACATATTCAATTCATATCTACCTTGTCTCATACCTTGTCGCTGTTCCTAATTGTGATCATATTTCATATTTCTCTTAATTTATACCTATAAATAAAAAACCTCGTCACAATGGCTTCAGCTCATTCTCAAGCTCTCCAAAACTTCATCCTCACACCTCAGCAGCAGAACCTGCTCTTCCGCGCTCTTACTTCGAATCAGCCAGGAGGTAGCAACAGCCCAAACAATGCGCTGTCCCTTTCGCCCGAGTCTTCAACAAAGTCACCGGTTCAGAATCAGAAAGGTACTCCAAATATGGATGTCCAGAACGGCATCTCCAATGGCATCCAAGAGAGTCCCTACTTGGATTATGACTACGATTTGGGACCCGATACTAGTTTCGACTTCGACTTTACGCATGATGGCCAAGCAAAGATGATTGGAGATCTCCCAGGCACCTCACCCAAGGAGAATTCCAAAGCCAGCTCCCCTGAGAACGATAGTCCCGATAAGAGAAGTCATCCAGATGATGATGAAGAAGACGACATGGAAGAGGGAGGTGGCAAGCGGAGAGAGAGCGAGGGAAAGATACCCAAGAAACCCGGCCGCAAGCCACTTACGAACGAGCCCAGCTCGGTAAGTCGCAAGCGTTAACCCGGCAATCCCAAAGATTGTGCAATGTCTAACGTTTATTATAATAGAAGAGGAAGGCCCAAAACCGCGCTGCCCAGCGCGCGTTCCGGGAGCGCAAGGAGAAGCATTTGAAAGACCTCGAGACGAAGGTGGAGGAACTTGAAAAGGCGGAAGCAGCGACAAACAACGAGAACTCTCAACTGCGTTCCCAAATCGAGAAGCTGACAATGGAGCTTAGCGAGTATAAGAAGAAGTTGACGCTATTGAGCAATCCTCATTCAGTCTCTAACCCCAAACGAAGCTCAGTATTCGGTCAAGCTGCCATACAAAATCTCAATGATGTCAACTTCCAATTCGAGTTTCCCAAGTTCGGCGTTCTCCCTGGTCCTCAGAATCCCCCAAAGAACGGCTCCAATTCTTTGTATTATTCGACACCATCTAACAACAGCCCTAATAACCAGGTCAACTCACCGGACAAGTCCAAGGACCAGGCTACCCCTAACTCCACGAAGAGCCGAGAGAACTCGGACGCTTCATCCAAAGACACATCGTCCAAGTCTTCCGGGTCTCCCTACGATAGCACATTCGGTGCCAGCGCATCGAGAACCAGTCTGGACTCGAGCCATTATAGTGTGAATGGGGCTAATACCGGCTCGCCTTGTTCGTCGACAGCGAACTCTAATATGGGACCCAGTTCCTCGTGCGGAACCTCCCCTGAGCCACTGACCCAATCGCCGCTAGGATTTAAGCCGGTAGATACCTTAACTACAATCGGCGAGGAGCAACCGTCGCTGACAAGCGATTCCATGTCTCGTATGTATTACCGATATATTTGAATGTATGCTACCAAAATCTTCAGGGCTTGTAAGCTAACCCTACCAGTAGATTTCAACAACTTAAGCAATATGGATTTCTCAAGCCTAGATTGGCTGTCGCAACAGAACGGAGGCCAGTTTGACCCGCAGCTCTTCGGCGACTACAGGGAGCCGCAGGACAATATCTTGGCCAGTGCTACTTTTGATGACAGCTTCTTCAACGACGCCTTCGACGTTGACTTCACTACACCGTACAACGTACCGTCGGCGTCTAATAACAACAATGCTCACAAGAAAAACCTGATTGCCGAGATCGACGCTAGGAAGGAGTCAGAGGACACTATCCTATCCAATGGCAAGCTGCTCACATGTAATAACATCTGGTATGTTAACCCACTTCTCTCTTTGCTTTTCATCACTCTAGATAAATAAATCAATAATGATATATATATATACTGACATCACATAACAGGGAGAAATTGCAAGCCTGTCCTAGGGTCCAATCGGGTGACCTCGACCTCGATGGATTATGCTCTGACCTACAGAAGAAGGCTAAGTGTGGTGGCTCTGGCGCCGTGGTCGACGAACATGATTTCAAGGCAGTTATGACCAAATATCTCGGCTCCGACGCCGGGAAGTGTACCGCGTAGTTCCGCATCCCACTGCTAGAACTCTCCTATGTCTACGAACATAGGAGGCTAGGGGGCTCTCACACAAAAACAAACAGATCTCCCTACTCTTGTGCCACCACCATCACCGATCATTGGGTAACGGCGGAAAGGAGTTTTATCATCAGGCGGCGCGACGGGGATTACGGCGAAAGCGGGGCAATGTAAACCAAATACCCCTGGGTTACGGCAAGAGAAAGACAGAGAAAGAGAGTGCAAGGCTATTCACCACATCTCAAGATATCTGGACAACCGAATATCTAAATCTCATGCCATCTCATCATTCATCGGGCACCGGAGTTTGTTGCATGCATTTGCGACAGAGAAAGGCGGGAAAATCACTGAAATACAGTTCTCCTTTCATCCTTTTTTTTTTCCTATTTTCCTATTTCCTTGGACCGTACGTGCCCCTCGTCCGCTGATACGGGAGGATAATACGTGGCGGTGACGATATGACATTTATGTATGGTAATGAGTATGACAGCCTATGACCATACCACAACGATGATCAAGGCTAAGTACTAGGAGTTTTACCTAGGTAGCAAATAAGTAAAGGGAATGTAAGAGGTATTCTCACGAGGAAAGGAGGGAATGATGACAATGATATCGATGACCGAGACGTTTCGGGGAAGATGTGTATGCCGTGCCTGCTTACCTGTTTTTCTCGACCACTTTAATACCATTTACGTTGATTTAAGAGTGGTCGAAGCAGATCTCCTAGAAACGAAACTTGGCGTAAACACATTTTCAGATCGAGATAACGTCTACCTGTCTCTCTTTATATAGAACATTAGTAGTACATACAATAAGAGCCGTGGGTTATAACAATTACTAAGCTAGTTGTTTTTCGGTGATAGGCAAGGCAAATAGTGGTCTCGGCGGCGAGATTGGTAAGAGGTATTATTAATTCCTTGCTCCGCCGCGGAACTCTCGCGTGTAGGTCCTTCACGAAATATCCTACTATCAACGTATCCATATCCTTACCTTGCCCAAGCCTACATCGACTTGTTTTAAACCTATCTCATTTCATATAGAACGAAGTCAATACTTGATACAATAGCTCTATAATGTCATGTCATCCGAAACCATAGGCTACTAAGATGAGCAGAATATATTTTTGAAAACATTCAGCCAGAAGATAACGACTAATACCGGACCAAATCTGACCAACTTACATATACAATACCACGGCGTTACCCCCATCAAATAGTCCCAAAACAGGATCAAACAAGCGTAATAGTCTCAACAGGAACCCCACGCTCCCTAAACGCTTCCGGAAAGAGTCTCGGGTCCGAGTTAATCACCTCGCCCGTCTCCTTATTATAGAACCTCTTACAATACAAGGGGTCGGCCCGGGACTTCTCCCATTCGGTAACCTCTTCCCACCCCAGCGGCACCGGGACCTCCTGTAGCCGCTGGTGGTCTCTATACAAATCTCCGGTTTCCTCGTTGTAGTACATCACTCGGACGCGGTTGTCTTCGCCGGTTCCTATCTGCGCTGTCCAGGGTGGGGGGATCGAGCCGAAGAGGGCTTCTCCGTCCACTGGGGGGAGGGGGTTAGTAATATTTTACTAGTAGGAGGGTGGGATGTTTGGGATTTGGCATATGGGTAGATGCTATGTAAGTTAGGTAGCTTGATGAGGGGGTTTTCTGTCTGCGTTCTGGAGAATAGGGGTAGGTGAGATAACTCAAAGATTTAAATACTTACTAATACCGTGTACTGTAATTACAATAGTTAGCAAGAACTTTCTATAAAGGGGGGAGAAAGGAATTATAGTTCGAGGACCTTAACTTGAGCTCGTTCCCAGGAAAGTCTGCAGGGCCTATACTAAGAAGATAAAAGGAGTAGAAGCATCTTTAAAAGAAGAAACTCACCGTAGCAGTCTCCAATAACCTCGTACTCCCCACTCGCCGTCGGTCGAAGAAGCATAGGCATATTACACCCAAGAACCACAAAGATCTCATCGCCTAAACATCCCCTATGTCAGCAACCCAACCCATTCAACAACACCAACAAAACGACTAACAGTGCTCTCTCTAAGACTCACCCTGCTGCGGCTCCCCATTTATCATGCCCACATATCCATTCTGCATACTAAAAAGATAACACCCATTAATCCGCCCAATCGTCCAAATCTTCCACCCATCCGACAACGCCTTCTCCTTCTCCTCTGCCTCGCCGCCCTCCGGCGCAGCCACCATCGCCGCCAGACTAGCCAGACTAGGATACCCAATGCCATAATACCGATCCTCGACTCTCCCCAGCGCCAGCGTCTCCAGCCACGCGTCGCGGTACGTCCCGCGGGCCGGATACGGGGGGGCCGTCTTCCCTAAACGACCAAGACCCATCCGCCGACACGTCCTGCGGAAATCTGCGAAATTCTCCGTGCTGATTCTCGCGCCGACGCACGACACGCTGGCGAAGTATACCCCCGCGACCTCGAGACGTCCGGGATCGACGTATTTCGCGCGCGCGCTAGAGATCCCGCTGGCGCAGAACCCGACGTGGTGAGGCGCCGTGACGCGCAAGTAGTGCGACCAGTCCGGCAACCAAGACGGCCACTCCGCCGGCGCAGTCGTAGTCGTATACCTCCGACCCGCATACGGTAGCAGCGAGACGCGCTTCTCATGTCTCACAAACGCCCAAAAGACGCTCCCGAACACGTCTCGCGGCGACAATTTGTAATCGGGGGTGACGAAGGTAGTGATTTCGGGCGGCGCGAGGCTCAGCAGCCCGTAGATCTTATCGCGGGCGTTGAGGCACGGACGCATGTGGTGGTTCTTGAGGACGTCGACGAAGGCCATGTCGGCGAGGTGCTCGCATAGGAACTTGATTTCCTGGGTTTTGTGCCAGAGCGTCTGGGGCACGCCGACGTCCTTGGCGTGGATGCAGATGACGGCGCGGCGGAAGGCCGCCCACGGGATGGTGCTGTGGCCGCATTGGAGAGCTGAGTTGGCGTTGCCGAGATGGATTTCCTGCACGATCCACAGCCGGGTGAACCAGTCCCGCGAACAGGCCGAGGAGATGGCGTCCCATGTGGCCGTGTCCCAGGGCAGAGCGTGCTTGCTCGAGAACCATTGCTCTTCCGTGCAGCCGGGTGCGGAGAGCATTGTGCCGTCTTTAGTGTGCTCGATTTGTCGGCCGAGATATGCCAGCTTGGAAAATGCAAGGTCGCTGCTTGGAGACCCGGGGCCCAACCATGCTATAACCCTATGAGCAAGCGTGTATATCAACCCCATACGCTTGACCTGCTCGCTCCGCTCATCGAGGTCATCTTGGTTGATACAAAGAGCATCGATCCACATGACCCGGCCCTTATCCTCATATCGGAGGTGACGTATCGCTTCCTGGAGGTTCCCCTGAATAGGCAGACGCTGCGTCCTCAACGCCTTCAACCCTCTAACCTCCTCCTCGCCCAGAACCACCGCCTTCTCCCTAACCTTGGGAGAACCCCAAGTATACGACAACGCCTCGAACTTGACACTCGTCTTCCCGTCTTCGGGAAGTTCATACCTGTCGCGCGGGAAGTTAGGATCAGGATGGTCCCAGGAAGAATACCTCCCGTCGTAGTTCCGAAAGATAATACGGCCCTCTAAGGTCTCGCGGGCGTTCCAGCTCTGGGGAATAGTTCCCCGTAGAGCGGCCAGGGATATCCGCTTTGGTTTATCATCTTGGGTAGGCGGGATGAGCGGGGCGTGGGTGATTTTGATCTGGATGGGGTCGTCGAATTTCCCAGGGAGAATGGTGACCAAGCGAATATCTTGCGACGCTGGGTCGAGTGGTGTATACTCATACTTCATCCTTATACAACCTTCAGGAGTTTGTTTATATCTAGTGATGTAATAGAGTTATGTTGACTTCTTACTCACTTATAAGTATACCTAACTCAGCGTCGACACATTCTAGGACTATACGCCTCGTACATGCATAGAAAGCCGGGTCTTTCATTGGCTCAGCCATGATCCTAATGCTTGCAAAGACTCACATCAAACACATTCTCTAACAAATATTTTGTATTAATGATAGACGCCTCTTCTGATTGAAGCAGCCATCAAATCCATATTATTCCAAAGTTAAGAAGTTAGATGGCCTGTATTATTTTTGGTTTCGAGTTTCAGAGACTTGAAAAAGTAACCAACCAATCTAAACGCACAACTGCTATTTGTTTATATATATGCGCCGACAGTTACACCAATTATAACACGAATCCACATAGCCATGCATTATTAATATAGGATAAATCAAAGGTAACTCGCAATAGATCAAAATAAATCATTCATAATTATGTATATTTCATGTTCTCTACATATCAAGCGTAGGGGTTGGATATCCCATTCTTCACCATTATAGAACACTGATTGTAGTTGTTTGTGCACTGCACTCGCCACTACCCAAATATGGACGTTGCCACCTCGCATTCCTCGCAGATTACTTTTAGCGGCGGGTATTATAAACTATACCACCTAGGAATGTTGTAAAGCCTCTATTCTGAGGTCTTCCAGTGGAGAGTGCCTAATGCATTTGTCGTGCCGACTTCGAATAAAGCGGACAGAACCACCTAGAATTCGAATCAACTCCCAAGGAGAATATGGCCACTGGGCGATAATTCCGTATTATAACATGGCCTAGGGCGAGCTCACTTAAAGGAGCTCATGGAGCGGGTATTGAAAGGGGTCGGTTAAGTCTGTGTCAACTCGCTCCAAAAGAGTTTGACACAGCTTTTGCTTCAACGAGGCTGTTTTACTCGTTTTCATTCGTAGTACATGGTATCCGTAAAACTCGGGGCCGCTGGAAATACTGTGATCCGCCAAATCGACGAGTCTGATATGGTTCGCCAGTGATATCGAAATGATTCGAAAATGCCACCCAGCTTAGCTGACATGCCAATCATCGTGAAAGATTTCTCCCTACGATGAGGAGGAAATTGCGTTGTAATAAGCCCACAGTAGTCCTAGTGGCCCGTTCCTAATACCCAGAAGACGCCGATGCGCCCAATAATATCCAGTGCGGAGGTGACATCAACCAATTATCTGTCGTGCCCCTTCTTTACCCAAAACTCCTCTTTCTTTTGGCTTTGGACTATGGCCCCTCTTCTTTCGGCCAAAAAGTCCAAAGACGCCGCCACCCCCAGACGACTTATCCTCACTCGTGACATTAGCATCAGCCGGTAACGTCGTATCCCTACGCGCTAGATCCGACCAGCTGCCTGTATCCTCCAACGTGACCGATATGCCGCCGCTGGGAGATTTGACTTGCAGACCTGAAGACTGAGAAACGCTCTTGCTGTATGTGCGGTGATATGATGGAAGCGGCGCTGGGGGTCGAGGTGCGCTTTTGGCTGCGCCGCGGTTACCGCTCGTCGTAATACTCTTATCTGACGGGGGTTTATTTTGTACAGGTGAAGGTTGGTATAATTGCTGCGGAGCTCTATTATTGCTCGGGGCCGGTTTCGCCTCGTCGGTACTGATGGCTCGAGCCTCTTCATTGGCTGGGCTCAGAGCAGGACTATTATCTCCGGTTCCATCCGCCTGCTGTGCCGTAATTCTGATTCATGGTTAGCGAATAGGGTAACTGAGTAGTAAAAGACACTCACTTCTTATAAGCTGCAACAGTGTAATCGAACGGCTGAAATTCCCGCTCGATGGTACGGTATAGCTCCTCTTCCCGGATCTCCTTCTCGGTGGCGTCATCCTTTAACCTCTCTCTGGGTTTTTGTCTCCGCGCCCTGGCCTCTAGTGGCGCCTCCTCTAATAACAATTCTTCGAGGTCGTAAGTAGCATCGAAGTTGGTCTTGTCTGCCGATGGGATAAATACGGGTTCCAGTTCTTTTCTTTCTAAAGCCTCAAAGTCAATGCACTGAAAGAAGGACTCGTTTATGAAGCTTTCCCAGGTATGACCGAGCCTCTTGTCGGTGTTCGGATTTAGAGCAGAACCGATGGCGTACAGACATGGTAGTGAGACTGGAGGTTGAGTGACGGGGAATTTCGGGTTTGCTGCAAGGATGACATTCGTTAAGGTAGATTCCGAATTACCCTCAAATGGGCGCTATAATCACAGTAAGCACATGACTTGACCGTCAAGTTTCGAAAAGATGGGTTATCCGTACCTTGTTGTAGATACATTCGTAAAACAATACCCCCAGCGACCACCAATCGGCCCTTACATCGTAGCCTTTACCTGCATATACTTCGGGGGCGAGGTACGCAAGAGTTCCCGATTTGCTCGTGAGAACCTTTCCGGGTATAACGTCTGAGGCAACGTTCTGGATAACAAGCTGTTAGCCGTTGCGAATGGCGGGGTAAAGGTAAGGCAACTTACGAAATCAGTCAAGTGAACATGGCCGTCAGCATCTAGTAGCACGTTGTCTGGCTTCACATCTCGATGTATTATGCCTTGCCCGTGTATGTATCTGAGCGCACATCCCAATTCCGCTATCCAGAAACGCACAGCATCTTCAGTGAAAGCCTTTCTCGATATGTGAAAACGCAGGTCGCCTCCGCTCATTAAGTCAACCACAAGGTACCTATTATTGTGCAAATCGAATTAGACGGGTTGTTTTGATATTGAGGATAGTGGTTGATGCGTACATATACTCGATATCTTGGAAACTATATCGCAAGTTACAGATAAAAGGGTGGTTCACATGCTCGAGCATGCGTCGTTCTCGTATAATATTTCGGACGCTTTCAGACCGTACGACTACAGAGGCAGAGTAATATTAACATCCGTTGACTCTCTCATCATTTAAATATATATATGGATTGGTTTTTAGAACTCGACGCACCCTCATCTTTACGAATGTACTTTAGGGCAAACGATAGGTTGGTATCTTTTCTTTCGACTATTCGCACTTTACCAAAAGCACCGCGACCGACGACTCGTAATAATCGGAAATGGTTTAGGTTCACTAATAAGCAATACAAAATAGCACTCAGTTAGCTATTGAAATCAACATGGCAAACGGTACTGCCGAGACAACGGGTAGAACCCGTACCCCTTTTGGTCATTGAAGGGGGAGAAACATACCTTCGCCGTTGAGATCAACGGGCTTGCCTTGACTGTTGCCCATAGGGAAACTTGGGGGTATCAACACCCGGCTTCCGCAATTCTACTCGTGTTCAGCCGTAAGAAGACGGTGAATAGATGCCGATTTAACGATTTAACGATTTAACGATTTAGCAATGGATGATTGGAAAAGACCAAGAAAGATAAAGCAGTTATTAAGCGCAAGGAGATAAAAATAATGATAGGGAGAATGAGATGTCAGGAGGTCAGAAAGATCCACTCTTAGATCCCTACTAGGTTATGAATGTCTGAATGTATCCTCAGCCTGGCCAAACCGGGCAAGTTATTGTTATTATTAGCTGTTTTTAGGAATGTATGTAAGTAATAACTAGTAGAAAAAAACAACCAGTCTAATAGAAAGATGCAATAATAAGCAGCGCTAGGGCCCGGGGAGTAGAGTGAAATCAGGTAGTTAACAAAACAATGAACAACAATAAAGGTTTCAATGTTATGTATGTAATAATTGTAATAGGGAGGGAAGAGGGAGAACATTGGAACTAAGAGTAAAGAAGAAAAAGCACTAAATTGGGTTTGGTTCAAATCCAATAACCTTACTTCCTTGCATGTAGGTACTTCATGTAAGTACTCCATGTATGTACCGTCGGCGATTGGCAATTGGTACGGCACCGGGCAGAACAGGATAGCGTCTCACAAGTACCAGTACCGGTACTTTGTCGTATCGCGGCATAGGGAGATTACAGTAGGTCGCAGTATCCTATACAATATACCGATAAGCCCAAGTCAAGTCTAGTATAATAGGTACCTACATATAAAATCATGCAGCTACATTAAGTACTATGTATGTATGTAGGTAGGTAATTAGGGGACTTGCACCATAATACCTGCCAACCTGCAATCATGTCACTAGTCATTATTGCCTGTATGTATGTAACTTGCGTATGAGATGAGAATGAGAAACCTGAGTTTTTATGGAGACATCTTAGACCTTACTTTAGACTTTGCCTTATGAGGTAAACTTGCTGATAGGTAACATGGCAGGATCGACGCCGCTCAGCTGCGGACTTTCCATGTGCTTGCTGCCTCGTGCGTTCGAACTTGTGGCTTTCTCAACTCCACCTTCATCCCGCTTGAGGTCCAGGAGGCCACGCACTTGCCACGGAGATAGAGTACATGCATCTTGACCTAGCTTTAATGGGCAAGGTTCTAATGTCGAACAGTGTTTCAGTCTGGAGATATCTATAAGAGGTACCCACTATTTGTGGCTTCCTGCGTGGCTACCTAGTCTATCTTTTCCCCCTGTTCCCCCTTGTTCCCCCCCTATCCCATCTCTTATTTTTTGCATCTACCTACCTATGATTCTCATCATCAGAAGCCAAGATCACATAATACTGTTTGTTTAACCATTCACCATACCATCCTAATTATGCATCCTAACGTACCTAACGTAACTTATTTGAACTTCATCCCGTAAGCCTCAGCAGATTACATACTCCAAGAAAATAGTATATATTATTTTCGTCTGTCATTGTCAGAATTTCTTAATTCTTACCACTTAAATCCCGCCGCTGCATACCTTATGGTATATGCTACTCGGGATCCAAACAATTGTAAACAATTGCGCGCTCTACCATATACGATTATCGCGAGGCGGAATCTACCTGAAACAGTCTTAAAGCTACCAAGACATGGAACTATTCCAGAATGTCATCTCCAAACCCCGTATCCACGCACGTCACTGGAACCAACGTGCGGAAACAGGCTAGCTCCGATCGGCCATAAAATGATCAACGACAAATTTAAACATCCTGTCCATGTCCTGGTCTGTGTACTAACTGGGCAGTTGGAAAGCTTGAAAGATGTCAATGTCAACCCGGCTTGTTAAGATGATAAGTGACGGTTTCGAATATTCCTTTACATAGCACCACCGACACACTGGATTAAGCAACTGTTGAACGTCGTGCTCCATGCTTGTGCTCGTGCTCATGCGCATGGATTGCACGGCTCTTCGGCTTTAGTTGCCTCGTGGCGCGCAAAGACGTCAAAAATCAGCCGCCACGTGTAAGTCTTCTTTCGGATTGTCACTCTGTCGGCCATGCCGTACCACGGAGTCTAAAGTAAAGGTTGACCACGCTATATATAGCAGGTGTTGTCAACTACTCTCCCGATTCAGTATCATTCTGATACTCCGTCTTAGAGCCTCGATAACTGTTCCCCCTTGGATGACGCAAAGTCGAACCCAAATGTCCAAGTAGGATCGTGGGGATTCGTTCTAGAAGGATGAAAAAAGACCAGTGCATGGCTTCTCGCACGCGACTTCTGAAACCAATCCCGCGCGGACACAGTCCGTCTCGTGTTCTAGAAACGAAGGAATGCCATTCCCATCGCGATGGAATTTGGGGTAATCGGGTCCAAGCTTCTATCCTACATACAGGTAATTTAATCTCGTGACCAAAATAGACAGACAATAGGTCGCTGTCATCGTTACTACGCCGCATCCGACACCGTAAAGAGTAATCTGGGACGAAAGAATAAAGGCTATTGCCATCCTTTGTGTGCTAGTGTAGCCCTGTTTCAGCCCCATCCTACAGCTGAAGCTCGCCTATAGTCGAACGTTGGTCATACAACCAAATCAACATCATAACGCGAGATTATGTTCTCAAGTAGCTGAAAACCGTGCCATAAACTTCAGACAATGTCGTCTTGGCCGTATGTATATACAAAGATGCTCTATGAGGTATACATGCGCTACACATGTACAGATAAATTATATACAACCATGAGATAGATAACATGATTACCATTCCGGCGCAGTACCACACCCTCCACCGCTCGGCAACACTTCTACGGGTTTCCTCATCGACAATTCTGCGTCACCCGTCGCTGCTGGCCTCTTTCCCCGGCGCCCCTTGAACCCAATCCGGCGATCCAGCTCGCCGAACTGACCCGACCCTCCGTCTTCTTTCCGCACCATCCACTTTGTAGTTCCTAACGCCGCATCCAACTCCTCAACTGGGGGCAGCTTTAGGTACACCATACCGTCGATGCGCTCCTCCACGGCGAACGTAGCGATCGACATAGAAGAGTCGTTGCGGCATGCTCCGGAGTCTAGGTCGAAGTTGCGCTTGTGGAATGGGCATGAGACCCACGGTGCTTTGGGGTCGTTACATGGCTCTTTCTTAGTAGTGGTAGAATCGGAGGAGGGGGATGAGGGCGGTGATGGCGGAGGTGATGGCGGGGAGATGTCCTGCCCGATGAGCCCGTCCGACAACGCAAAGGACCGCTTGTGCGGACACATTTGCTGCGTTGCGTAATACTTCCCCCTAACCCGCCAAAGCGCAAGTTGAGTGTCGCCGCGCTTTATATTCGCACTAATGCCGTTGGGCGTGGCATCGGCACCAGCAAAGTAACTAGCCTCAATGACAGGCTGCCAGGCGGTAGATGACCAGCGGTCCTTCAGGCCGGCGAAGTCCTCGGCTGCCGCGTCCTTGGGCCAGTACACGGGACGTGTCTGCCCGCGGTCCTTCTCCGTCTCCACGGTCTCGACTGTGTCGTCCGTGTTGGCGAACTGCTTGAACTTAGAGGCGATTATCGGATTTCGCACGGCTTCAGCCCATTCGTCGAAAAAAGAGTCTACCAGCTCTTGCATCTGAGCTTCAAGAGAGGCGCAGATGCCAAGCTTGTCCTCTAGGATGACCTCTTTTAGGTAACGTAGACCGCCTGGTAGGTTCTCTAGCCATCGCGCCGTACGTTGGAGCTTATCTGCTGTGCGGATGTAGAACATCAGGTACCTATCTAAGATCGGAACGACTTCTGACGGCGGGACATCTTTGGCGAGAAGTTCAGAGTGTTTGGGCTTTGCGCCGCCATTGCCCGCGACGAAGATGTTGAAGCCTTTTTCTGTGGCGATGAGTCCGAAGCTGTCAAGCCGTTAGTATGGTAGTATGTCTAGGTTGTGATATTAGGTGAGATGCTTACTCCTTGTTCTGAGCCTCGGCGCACTCGCGCACGCAACCACTAACACCCCCTTTTATCTTATGCGGGCTACGTATACTCTTATACCGCTCCTCTATACGCACCGCCATACCCACACTATCTCCCATACCAAATCTACACCACGTCGTTCCAACGCAACTCTTAACAGTACGTAACGATTTAGCATAGGCGTGCCCACTTTCCATACCGCCCTCTATCAATCTAGTCCATATGTCAAGCAGATCCTGCTTCTTAGCACCAAACATATCGATACGTTGTCCACCGGTGATCTTAGTATATAAATTGTACTTCTTTGCGACCTCTCCGATAATAATCAGCTTTTCCGGCGTGATCTCGCCGGCAGAAACACGAGGGACCACCGAGAATGTGCCGTTTCGCTGGATGTTACCTAAGAATCTGTCGTTGGTGTCTTGCAGACCGTGCGTAGTCTTGTCCATGACGTGCTTGTTCCATAACGACGCAAAGATGCTTGCTACGGCGGGCTTGCAGGCTTCGCAACCGTCCGAGTTCTTGTCGTTTCCTGCCTCTCGCATCACATCGGGAAGAGTCTTCAGTCTCTTAACCATGATGATGTTATATAAATCGGCACGAGAGTAGCTGAAGTGCGCGCACAGGTAGTTTGTTACCTCGGCGCCCATGTCGGTCATAGTCTTGGTGAAAATACTTGTGACGAGCGGCATACAACCACCGCAACCCGTACCGGCCTTGGTGCAAGCTTTAACATCCCCTATCGTCTTACACGTCCCGTCCTTGACACTCTGGACTATATCCCCCTTTGTGACGTTGTGACACGAGCAGACTTGCGTGTCGTCGTCAAGATCATCGGCGCCGTCGTCACCTTCTTTCTTCGCCCCTAGAATGAGCTCGGCTGGGGGAATGGTGAGTTCTTTCTGGTTCTTGACCATAGGCACTAATTTTATATAATCGCTAGTATCTCCAATCATCATCCCGCCGAGCAGGTACTTTCCATCGGTTGTGAATAAGTATTTCTTATATACCTGAGCGAATGGATCCTTGTATATAAGAGCCTTGACCGGCGGCGGCGGAGGCCCGCTGACCACTGTCTTGACGGTGCTCTGGTCGTCCGTCTTTTTCCTGGCTGCTTTTGCTGGTAGGGAACTGGGACCGTCTCTATCGGCGAAGAAGTCACCGAAACTAGCGACGTCAACTCCGAGGAGCTTTAGCTTGGTGCTTAGGTCAGGCCTCTTGAAAGTTCTCGGTTGGTGAAGCTTGGCTTGTGTTAGGTTGAATGATAGCACGTCAGCCATCTCGACACCGGGGGCGATGAGACCGAACGTCTGGTTTTTCCAGCTCGCGCACTCCCCAATAGCGTAGATATTCGGAATACTCGTGCTTAAGTCGTCGTTGACGAGGATTCCACCGCCCCGATCAGCACACTTGATGCCGGCGCTTCTTGCTAAACTGTCTCGTGGTCGTACACCGATGGCAAAGCAAATAGTAGAACAGTCCATCTGTTCGCCATCCTCGAATATGACGCCTATTACATTATTTTCCCCGTCTGTATTTATCTTTCCCACTCTCTTACTTAGCAATATATCAAGTCCTAAGGCTGTTACTTTCTCAACGACCAAGTTACCAGCGTCAGCATCTAGCTGTCGACTTAGAACCCATCGATTCCTCTCGATTAGTTTTACCTTTTCGTAGCATTCCAGATCCATCATGGCATTCGCCGCTTCGAGACCGAGCAAGCCACCGCCGACGACGAGTCCGACTGTCCCCTTATGAGACTCTCCGAAGGTAATTAGTTTTTCTAGGTCTTCGATGGTCCGGTAGACGAAGACGCCATTGGCGTCGTGGCCGGGAGTATGCCTTGGAAGAACGGCATCGGAACCGGTTGCTAAAACTAAGATATCGTATGAGACCACGTCGCCGTTGGCGCAAGATACCGTCTTATTTGTAGAATCGATGTTGGTGACTAAGGTGTTCAAGTGATAATTTAATCTGTTGTCCGGAGCTTGCAGCGCATACTAAATCTTTTATAAGTAAGGCCGTTTGGACATAGGATCTGTCTTAAAGCAGAGACTTACCCATTCTTTCGGGTTAAGATATAAATTCTCGACTTTCCGGTGGCTAAAGAAGCTCGTGAGACCAACTCGATTATACGCGAGGTGGGGTTCTTCGCCGATGACAATAACATCATATTCACGAGTCCTAGCATCGAGTTTCAGGAGTTTTTCTCTATAAGCTGGTTAGGAAACTTGATACAGTCATGAGTTCTGAAGACAAGTATTTCGCTCACATGAATGCGATGCCGACCATTCCCAGGCCGACAACAACTAGGGTTTTCCTCTTATCGACGGCCATCTTGAAGGTGAAGCAGACAGGATGGATGGATGGATGGATTCGTCGAAACACTACGTCACAGACCCCAACTCTGCTTACATATGCCGTGTTACAATGTGTAAAAAAAGGGGGGGGGGACGTCGCTAATACGATCAACGATGTTTTTAAATATATATATATATATATATGTATAAGGGGAAGTATTACACGACGAAGGAGACGGTAGGGAGAAATCACATAAAACTACGGAGCAGGACAGGCGGGTTATCCAACGACCAAATAGACGACGGGATCACATCCCATACATAGATAGTTAGTTAGTTAGTATACCGCTGCTCAGTGAGATAGATATGTGCATCTCCGAACCTATCACTAGGAGGTAAGAAAAAGCTGACTACAGCCAAGATCTCCAGGACTCCTATTGGATATTCCCTATATATCCATACGGGAGCTAAACTAGAATTACCTAACCCGCTAGTTATTCTCGTCCGACTATGTACTAGGTATGCCCCATCGTAGATATCACCACGATATGGCAGCACTTGTATAGGTATACCATACATAGGTGGTAGGTATGTTAGTACAACTAATGTTTGTTAATGGCTAAGCCTGAAGCTCGCAGGGGTAAAACCGACAAGCTAGGTACTTAAAAAAGGGGAGCCTTTTCGATAAGACAACACGCGATTGACCAATTAAAAGAGACCTGACGGCCGCGGAGAAAGATAGCGGCGCTTGATTCGTTCCTATTATTCAACTACTTATTCGCTGGCTCTCCCGAGGAGTTCTGCATCTCCGGCGACGTTGGTTTGTTTTATTAACATATTTTGCTCTCTCTCTCTATTTCTTTTTCCCTTCTATTTCTCCCCCTCTCGTCTCATACGATTTATAACCAAGGTCGGCCTAGAATACACATGATGTTGGGCTTTTATGTATTATGTTATGGTATTATGCGTTAGGTAGTTAGACGATGTATCGGCCTGTTTACGGACTAGATTCGGTATTTGGGCTTAACCTAGTATCTATCTATCGTCGGTTGATTCGTGAGGCTTTTTATAAATGTAAATTACTCGGAGATAGATGTCTTGGAGTGGAAATATGAGGTTGGTTTCTATGGTGATGCGTTAGATGCCGAGATATATGTCTTGAATTGTCGGGTTCTCACATTAAGTAGAGTAAGACTTGAAATGAATAAATATCTGCATCCAAATATCAATATTTACAGATTTGCTTTCATCTTTTCTTTTCTTTTTTTTCATCATCTCATCTCATCCCACCCCATCCCATCCCATCCCACCTCATTAACGCCCTCTCTTTTTTATAATATCTTCATTCATCCATCCTTCCCTTCACAATTAATTATCCTCTAATAAGCACTCCCCTGCACCTGTCTCACGCCCTCCGCCCCACGCAGCCAACCAACCCGATCCTTAACATACTGCTCCACGCGCGGCTTCAGCTTCGTCTCGTGCAGCGCGAAGTCGTCCACGGTGCCGAGCCGCAGGGCGCTGTGGCCCGGAAATCCGGCGCTGACGCGGTACATGAGGGAGCCGCAGGTGTTGCAGAAGTAGTTTGTTGTGCTGGGACGAGTTGAGTTGTTAGTTACTAAGTTAGCCCAAAGTACCTAATCCAGTGAGGAGGTGCCTAGGTAGGTAGGTAAGTAGGTAGGTATGTATAAAGACGCACGTGTGTCCAGAAGCAATAGTCCTATCCTGTCCATACGTCTTCAGATTCTCCCGTCCCCGCACGTGCTTCAAGTGCGTATCCTTGACGATGAAGCCCGTCGTGAACATCGACGCTGTGATCTTCCGGCAGTCGGAGCAGTTGCACACGAACACGTCGACTAGGCCCGGGCCGTGGGTTGGCTTGGTGGTGTTAGATGAGATGTAACTATAGGCATGGCCATGTAGAAATGGGTAAGTAAGGTGGACTCGGATGGACTTACGAAGGACAGCTGCACGGCGCCGCAGTAGCATGTCGCCGTAGCTTCGTCCTCGGTGGACCAGCCGTCGTTGGCACCTCCGGCCAAGGGGAAGTGCGACGGTTTGGGCTGGGAGTTGTCGTTAGTGATGGAGGTAGCCATGGTCATATAAGTTATATATATCTCTCTCTTTCTCTTCCTTTTAAGTATTCTAGTTTATAAGCACTCTAACTAAATTTGAGAAGTGATCGGTCCGCAACTTATAAGTCAATCTTATGATATCTATTCAAGTAGGCATTATCCAAATTATATACTTGCTACATATCTACACCCGTATACAGTAAATCAGTAACTAGTTCTTTCGTGAGCAACCTACACAGGTCAACGCAATTCCATCCTGCCATGCCGCGTCTCTATTATTCAGCATAGTAATCGGGAATAAGACCCACCGACAAGCTAGCACGATGCGGAGTTTATAGTCGATTAATACTAAAAAGAAATAAGGGATATAAGTTATCCCAAGGGTGAATGACTAAGGGTATTAGATTTAAATTTCGGTGTTTACTGATAGCTCCTAAGGATTCCGTATAATTATATGGAAAGCCTAGAATCGCTTTTCTCGCTTTACGTCATGGAAGTGCCTGGTAGTAGACTTATGATTAATAATAAATCGAGAGAATCCAAGCTATTTACGCACTAATATAAATAACCGGACGGGAGTCTACACCTCATCCCAAAGATATCCTAGAACCTCAGCCCAAAGTCTAACCCGATTTGGCAAAAGCTAAGACCTTGGATCCAAAGGTTTGATTGGTTACAATTGATAGGGTTCCCGCTTTGGGGTGAGCTTTACATCAGGTGACTTTGGGGTGAGCTTTCGTGTCTTATTAAAATATAAGCTTAAATGCCTTGTAATTACAGCGCATTACAATCACTAAGTCCCTTATATTATAGCGTTTGACATTTAATCAATTAAACGCATACTTTTACCTATTCCTTATTTTTTACTTGATTTATATTAATTGATTATAAATTAATTAAAAATTAATACGTAATTAATTAATAATTAATTATTAATTAATTTTTATTATTTTAATATGTTAAAATTAAAATTTAAAAAGTGGGTTTTGCTTTTTGTTTTTCCTTCTTTTTGTTAACGTTATAAGCGTTACGAAACCTTTGGTCCGTGTGTTTATATTTGTGGGGCGTAAAAGAAGCGTTTTTCGAATTTTAATTTTAAAAACGTTTAAGGTTTTTAACCGCACCTAGTATATATTTAAAGATTTTTAATAAAATTATATTAATAATAATATAATAAATAATAATAATGTTTAAAATATCTTTTATTTTAATTATTTAAGGTTAATTTTTTGTTTTAATTACTTTTTTATCTTTTTTATATGTTTATATAACATTGCGTTATAATATTATAAGTTTTAACGTTTAAAAATACGTAATAGCTTTAAAAATATATAATAATTTTAAAACGTTATATTTACGCGTTTACACTTATACGTTTATATTTATAATTATTTATAATTACGTTTAAAATATTTTTTATTTTAATTATTTGGGATTAATCTTTTATTTTTGTTACTTTTTTATCTTTTTTACATGTTTATACGGTATTACGTTATAATATTATAAGTTTTAACGTTTAAATAGTTTTAAAACGTTATATTTACGCGTTTATACTTATAACCATTTATAACCACGTTTAAAATATTTTTTATTTTAATTATTTAAGGTTAATCTTTTGTTTTTACTATTTTCTTGTTTTTTTTACATGTTTATATAATATTGCGTTATAATATTATAGGTTTTAACGTTTAAAAATATGTAATAATTTTAACGTTATATTTATAACCACTTATAATTACTTATAATTACGTTTAAAATACCTTTTATTTTTTAATTTAAAGTTATTTATTTAATTGTTTAAATATTTTAATCTTTTTTGTATATTTATAAAATATTACGTTATAAAGTTATAAGTTTTAACATTTAAATTATAACGTTTGTTACGATTGGTGTTACGACCGGTATTATAGTTAATTTTAACTTAAAATGTATACGTTTTATTTAATAATTTATTTAAATAATTAAATTAATATTTATTTTTTATATAAAAATTTTATTTATTATAAACTTGTTAAAATTAATATTTTTAATTAATTTAATTATTATTGCTATATTAAATGTAAAAAAAATGTTTAAAGTTGCTTTAAACTAAAGATTGGAAAATGTTTTCGGGGGGGTGTGCCGGGGTGTGATTGGTTAAGGAAGGTTGTAATTAAAAAAAATATTTTTTTCCGAATTATTTTTCCAATTTTTAGTTTAAGTTAATTAAGATAAAATTTTTAATTAATTATATAAAATTATTTATATTTCATTAAATATCATAATAATGTATAAAATTATATATTTGTATAAATATAATGTTAATGAAATGGTAGTCGAGTTTTGGGTGCGCTAGTACTATTGGAGTGAAAAAAGGTCCACATTTGCTTGATTGGGTTAGACTTTGGGCTGAGGTTCTGGGATAGCTTTGGGTTGAGGTGCGCCCTCACCGGACGGTTATTCCTTTTAGTTCGACTAGAATACGCCCGTGCTCGTGTATGAAGTAGCCATACAACAGGAATTAACTTTAGAAACGTAGAAAATAATTACTAGTTGGTCTCGAACATATAGCTTCCTATCAAGATATCTATCTGTCCAAGACTGGACTAAACCTTCAAGTCAGCCATATATAGATACCTAACGCATCACCCTTCACAAGCCGAAATGGAACTGTATTACGGGCCTCACTAAATCCGAGGCCAAGAATAGCAAGTAATTAGTACAAGACGATCAATTATTGTTCTTGCTACTACTAATGAATAATTTTTCCTTTCTCTCCAGACACACACCAAAGAGGTATATCTAACAAGCCCCGCAGACAGTTCAATTGACCACGATTGATCAATTTCTTATTAAGGTACTACTATATCCATTGAACGTCTGGGTAACGAAGGGGGCGTGAGAATAGTATAGGGAAGCGGGAACCACAAAACCGTGACATGCCTTAGTCACCCATCCGTGCCGTGCCACCATTCCGTTGGTTGCCGCTTATGGATATGGGGTATATGACGGAACGCTTACTCCTCCTCCAACGGAGCCTCCTCCTCAAACTCCTCTTCCTCCTCGTCGACACCGGCATCCTGGTACTGCTGGTATTCGCTGACCAAGTCGTTCATGTTGGACTCGGCCTCGGTGAACTCCATCTCGTCCATACCCTCACCAGTGTACCAATGCAAGAAAGCCTTTCGTCGGAACATAGCAGTGAACTGCTCGCCGACACGCTTGAATAGCTCCTGGATAGCCGTCGAGTTACCGACGAAGGTAGAAGACATCTTGAGGCCACGAGGAGGAATCGAGCAGAGAGCGGTCTGGACGTTGTTGGGGATCCACTCAACGAAGTAGGACGAGTTCTTGTTCTGAACGTTGCGCATCTGGTCTTCGACTTCCTTCATCGAGACCTTGCCACGGCTAGAGAATTTAAGTTAGCAAACAAGTAGTGTATAAAATTTTAAAGGGGATATCATACAAGATGGCTGAGCACGTCAGGTAGCGGCCGTTACGGAAATCAGAAGCAGCCATCATGTTCTTGGGGTCGAACATCTGCTGAGTCAATTCAGGGACGGTGACGGCACGGAAAGAGTGAGCGCCACGGCTGGTCAGAGGGGCGAAGCCGACCATGAAGAAGTGGAGACGAGGGAAAGGAACCATGTTCACGGCAAGCTTGCGCAGGTCAGAGTTTAGCTGACCAGGGAAACGCAAGCAAGTAGTAACGCCGGACATGACAGCAGAGACCAGGTGGTTCAGGTCACCGTACGAGGGGTTGGACAGCTTCAGCGTACGCATGCAGATGTCGTACAGAGCCTCGTTGTCGATACAGAAGGTCTCATCGGAGTTCTCGACCAGCTGGTGGACAGAGAGGGTGGCGTTATAAGGCTCGACAACGGTATCGGAAACCTTAGGGGAAGGCATAACGGAGAAGGTAGCCATCATGCGGTCGGGGAACTCCTCGCGGATCTTGGAGATCAACAGGGTACCCATACCGGCACCAGTACCACCACCGAGGGAGTGGGTAATCTGGAAACCCTGGAGGCAGTCACAGCCTTCAGCCTCACGACGAACGACATCGAGAACTTGGTCAACCAATTCGGCACCCTCAGTGTAATGACCCTTGGCCCAGTTGTTTCCGGCACCGGATTGACCGAAGACGAAGTTGTCGGGTCGGAAGAGCTGACCGAAGGGACCAGCACGGACGGCGTCCATGGTACCGGGCTCGAGATCGACGAGGACGGCACGAGGAACATACTTGTTACCGGAAGCCTGCACGCGTAGAGACAATTAGCAATCATCTTCATTTATTTATATTTAATTTCTATAAATTCGTACCTCGTTGAAGTAGACGCTCATGCGCTCGAGCTGGAGCTCGGAAGTACCGTTGTAACTATTAATGATTAGTTGTGATATTCTTGGTAATAGGAATGGACAACTCGAATACATACACGCCATTGCTGTCGAGACCGTGCTCGCTGGAGATAGTTTGCCAGAAAGCAGCACCAATTTGGTTACCCTATCATCTTCATGTGAGCCCCGCTGCATTTTATATCCATGGTTCTTCGATGATCGTTGTTACTTACACATTGGCCAGTCTGAAGATGAACCTATTAAAGAAATACGATTAGCTTTGAATTTTCCGATACGTTGTTATACAAATAACAATTTGATGTAGTTGCGATATGAAATGTAGATGTAGTAGCATTATGTGTATGAGGGGCAGAGAGCTAAGGGGGGTTTGGAGGGTTTGGAGGTTTTTTCGGACGCGTTCAGGGGTTTGTTTCTCTCTAGTGATACTGGGCTTTGGTTAGGGGGTAAACAAGAATTTTGATATAACTTACGATCTCACGCATTTTGACGGTGGTTGATTATGATAGTATCGAACACGACTGAAGGAAGCTGACAAGCAAGGAAGAGGTAAGAAAAGGATGCGTTCCTGAGAATAGTAGTTGTAGAAGTTTAAAGGAAGAAAACTAAGAGGAGCGGTGTATGGTTTGAGGGAGAGAGAGTTGTGTTGTGCCTTGCAGTTTTGGGTGGAAGAAAGTTGAGGGCAGCTTTTTTTTGCTTGTAGATTTCTAAAACGGAAAGGGTCGCTCCAATCTTTCCCAATCGTTCCAATCGCTCCAATCGCTCCAATAACCTGACAAGGGGGTTGCCCCTCTTTTTTCTCAATGTTGCCCACTTCTGCCACTGCTTTCCTACTGCGCTTGCTGTTAACTTGCTGCACTTGCTTTAAGGGGAACATAGCGCACAGACCATAATCTCGGTATATAGGCGGAGAAAGTACATGGTACATATACACTAGTCTAATTACGTTTAATTTACCATGTATTGTGTACCGTAGCTGCGGGCGCTTGGCAACCATCTTTTTTAGGCTTGCATCTCCTTATCATCAACATCAACATCAACATCAACAACACTAACACCCTAACACCCTAACACTACACTACACTTCAACTAACGCGGCGGCATCAATATGAGAATATGGGGGCATACGTGATCCAATCAATTGGTTATCCTGCTGCCTGGGTTTTTCAAGTAGTATTAGATACATAAACAAGGCAAGCTATTTAACTAGATGTAAGCATCTCGGAGGCATCGATGATAAACCGATTGTCTATTCTGTTGCCTAGATTCTCCTCGATTATAACCTAATAATCACCTGATGGATACGTACATGAAATAGGTATCTAGCTAATCAATTTTCAACTTTACCAACAGTATCCTTGCCACGATATTTGGCGGTGTAGACATCTATATAAGACGTGGCTGTTCCTACGATGAGTGGGTTAAACCCCATAGTGACAACACGATCCTATCATATCATATCAAAAACAATCTGGAGTCGTACATAAGCAGGACATATCTCGAACATGAAAGATGGAAAGACCGTAGCGGAATTCCTAACAAGGTCGACCAAATCGATCGCCTAGTATTTCCTATTTTCTACTTGTTTTTGTTCAGCCAGCCAGCCATAACCCAAGCCGACCTGTCTACCTGTACAATGAATGCACTCCTAATGCCGTATGCCTGTGCCAGACCGTAGTACCATGCCAATGCCGTACCTTTTAAAAACTACGGAAAAAAAAAAGAAACAAAAAAGAACTAATCAATTCGTTTTTCTTTCATCCATGCTGAAATCAAATACAAAGTGATTCGTCACACCGAGCTGTTTTCCGGCACCATCAACATCGCAAGGTCGAGACGTCCAAAAAACTCGTGGCATGTCTTAGACAAACGAGAACGCATATATCATTGGAGGTTATCTCGGTTTCGGTATCCCTCCTTTTTTTTCATCTGCCTGGGGAAAGGCTATGCGTAATGCGAGGCGGAGGCGACTTGTCAAATCCCGTTGAAGTTTGCTGCGTTATTGGGATTAGGCCTCTGCCCACAGTCCCCATCTATGTATAGAATTAAGATCCCTTGAAAGATCCATCTCGTGCATTACGGTTGATCAGACCGTCGAATTGTGCGAGCATGGTCCGGGCATGCAGCAGTCGTAATTCGTATTCATAATACTCCGTGAGTCTATAGGTGCAATATATCGTCATGTGCAGACGTACCAACGCCAATGCATTCGGAGTCGTGGTAGAAAATTATCGGCCAATATTAATAATCCTTCGAGGAATCCGCATTAAGGTGTACCCAGGTTCAGACCCTGGGAATATGAATCAAGTAGAACAACCCAAGTTCGTACTCGGGTTAACAATCGACATCAGGCCAACAGACATCTCGTTTGGCGTTTCCTCGACGTAATTAAGCGGAAATGCAAGGTCTCCTTTGTATGTAATCTTGCAATAAAAGAAAAGCTAATAACCGACCATACGCTATGCAAATCATACATGCGTTTTCACATATACAGTTCCCATTGTAATTATACCACGAGGGTTCGAGAATGGGGAGGATCGGGGAGGTTGTCGGATGCGCGAATTCTTAGTACGGGGCTCTTTAGCTAACCGTCATCATCTGCATGCGCTGGTTTAGTCCATTAGATGGAGACGCCCCAACTGAGCCGCTACTAAGAATCGAGGTGCTGCTTTGACTATGGGGTATCCGCCTTGTAGGACTAGACGTTGGGTCGTCAAAAACTCGCGTAAATGCAGGGCTTCCGTCTGACCTTGTGTGCTTCGGAGTTCGTACGGGACTCTGAGTAAGGTGATCTGCTTTGCGGACGATGTCGGATAAACCATCTCTCAAATCGCTCGCACGCTTGACCAGTTCTTTCAGACTGTTCGTATCAAAGTTTAGTTTTCCAGATGACTCGCGGCCTAGATTCGTCCTTGAATGTCGAGGCTGCATAGATTCCATAACAGATCTAGCAACACTGATCGATCCGAATTCGGGATTGACTGCTTGGTTTTCTGGGGTCTTCGGTCGATCAGGGACCGGTTCATCAGCGTGATCCCAAGTACCGAAGATATCATCCTCTGGTGAGAAGACGGATCGACGGCGGCCAGCAGGACGATCGCGAACAACCGCATTTCGTTGGCTCTCTGTTACCTTAGCAGTTCCATTTGAATCATGCGTAGCCCCTTCAAAGTCCTGGTCGATGATTCGCGAAGTCGTGTCAGAAGAATCGGGTTTAAAATCGGCAACCTCTGCTGGATCTTCGTCGGGCGACGCCAAGGCAATGATGCCCTCGGCTTCTCGCCAGAGCTTTACAGACGACCCACCAAGCATGTCCATGTCACGACCAAGTCGACACAGTCGCTTTAGATCGTTAACTAAAAGCGAAAGCTCTCTAATCTGTCCAGAGTGAGCCTTGATTGTAGGCTGTGTAGCCTGAATCGACGCAGGCACAACCATTGAGACCTTTGATTCTTCGTTTTTCCCGACAAGTAACCCATCAATATCTTCTTCCTCAAATTCAAAGTCATCATCCCAATCTTCGCTCGCATTCTTCTGGCCTAGCCCCCAGGTTCCGAACTTAGGAGTCGAGGTCGCGGTCTCAAACAATTCCGGAACGAGGGGAACACTTTGACTTCTCACATGAGCGGGAGTGGGACCCCTACGACTCGCAGTACGCCCGCCTCTAATATCGATTTCCTGCTTGCCATGGACGGTTTTCGGTCTCATATGATTACCAATGCCGTCATGCTTCTCATGGGCTACAGGTTCAGTCCAGTCAAAAACGGTGCTCCTAGGTCGTTCGCTCGTGGGATCGATCCGCGCCTTAGGTCTCGCATTGCCGTTGATATTGGACAATGCAGTTCGGGCATTTGGACTACCTCTTCGAGAATTCATGGAACCAGGAGGAGATAAGTGGTTATATATTCCATTATCGTCCTCCTTATCCCAATCGAGATCGTCATCGTCGTCCAGCGAAAATCGAGAAAGATCTCCACGTGTAGTAAAATTGGGAGAAGCTGGCGTAGAGCCAAAACCATCCTGGTTTTCAATATCCGCTGCAAGAAATCGTGATTCGGCTACAGTATATACTCCCCGAACAGGCGTAGGAATGCTCTCATCCTCCTCCATAATCTTATTCCCACCGTCAAAAGACGGTCCTAGAATATCCTGAATCGACAATCGTTTCGGTTTGCTGTTATGAGCAGTAGTACTTGGGGGCGACTCATCAAACATTGACTCTAATGGGCTATCGAGGGCTTTTGGGCATCCTGACGCTGCTGTCCGTATCGAGTCAAACGGCGTATCCGTCTTGAAATCGGTATCATCATCATCACCAGACGTAAACCCGCGGTGGTATTCAGAGCTACCGGTTGTAGAAGCCCGGTCCAATGTCCGAGCCTGTGATGTATTAGAGACAGTTCTTGGGGTTGTCGCTGTATTGGTTCCAGATTCGTTAAATTGGGTCTGCAGGCCTGGCGATAATGAGCCGAACTTATTTAAATCGATATGAAAACTCGAAAGTCTTGTTATGGGCGGTAAAGGAGATGAAACATTTCGCTTGCGAGGTGCTGGCTGAAGTGCAACGGATAACTCTGTGCCGGAGTGGCCTAGGTATTCGACATCCTTCGAAAACTCTCCATGACCTGCCATATCGGAGAAAGTTGACGAGTCCGTGCCTGTTGCGGCCGGGGCAGATACGTGCCGTTTGGTTTCACCCACAGTCTCACCGCGCTTACGTCGTCGTATACTCCCAGTTTTCGGTATCCAGTTCGAAGTTGGACTGAAGTGCATCGAAATAGAGCGTCGAGGTTGTTTAGCGGGCGTGCCTTCGGGGGACTCTGAAGACTTGGTCGAGGACTGCGGACTGCTGTCGGTGTTAGACTGATTCTCTGATATAGGAAAGTCACCGGTCGGAACCTCCAAAGTGGATGAGCCCATGGCGAGAGAGTCGGGCGTCACTAAGTAGACTCGTCGACGACTTTGCTGATCTACACAGATTCGCTTTATACCGGGCGCACTGGCGCTGTCGTTGCCTCTCAGCGGCGATAATTTGGCCGGGCTTCGAAATATTCGAGAGTGCCAAAACGACTTCCACCTCGATGGCCTGTTGCTGGCACCGAAATTAGGCTCAACTGGACTGGTCAGTGTCTGAGCCCGAGGGCGATTACACTGCTCAAGGGTTATATCTGGTAACGGCTGCAACGTTTCGCTGTTGATCTGTTGATTTAATGTAGCGGATCGCTGGTGGCTTGTAGCTGGTCTGCGCAGCGTCATCTGTGTTTTTGACCCTCGCCGCACCAAAGGACCCGTATTCCCACCGTTGACAGCCGATGCACGCTTAACCAGTTTATTCCGAGGTGGTTGAGGAGGTGGATGTCCCACAGGCGACAGAATCGGCGCCCCAGAGCCGTGGGAAAAGGTTATGGATGGTGAGTCGGGGCCGACGCTTGACCTAAAGCTTCCGTGCTGGGAGAGCGGTCGTATAGATAATCTTCGTATCCAA